CATCGTTATCAGGTTGTCTAATAGAACCTTGATCACAATGAGTACCAATAGCCACTGGAACACCAGGAGCTTCGTCCCTAGAATTTGAAGTTATCCCCATCCATGCAACATCAGCCGACAAGTTACTAACATCGGGGAAATCTTCAGCAATTTCATTTGTGTGTTCAAAAGAATTCTCAACAGCAGAAGGCTTGTCAATGACTCTGCTATTGTAGGAAGATTCTTCTAAACAGGATATCTGATTGCTACAAGGATCTCTATTAGGTGATGTAGTTCTCTTGGACCCAGAATCCAACACAATCTTCTGCTGCCAAGGCTTCAACACGCTAGGATTGCTTTTTTCAGCCAATGGTTGAATTTCTTCCTTAAGAGGTGGTTTCTGAAGAGTGTTACTAGAGGTTACAGGCCCATGAGCTGCATTTGCAACAACTGTAGACATAGCCAAAGTTCCATTCTCTGATGTTGATCTTTGATTATCAAAAGATCCATTTGACAAAGCTGAAGTTGCTAAAGAGTGTTGATTTGTTGAACGTGCCCCCCTGTGACAGCATTTTCAATTTTTTTTAAATGACCCCATAAATAAGTTCACAGACAACAGCTTGCAGCAAAAAAATTACCATGATGCTGCAGCAGGAAGAGCAGTTGATTTACCAGAGCTCCCACTAGGTGGAGAACTCCTAGGAGCACTAACTGAAGTCTGCACCAATAAAATGAATATGAACTAAATATTAATCTCATACAGCATTTTCCTAATACAGAAAGGCATATTGTAAGAAAGCGCATTTACACAATTTGTAGCTATAGCAGAGATAAATTTCTAGGAAATGCTGCATATCCATCAAAGTTTATAGTGAGCAACATTCAATATGCATTTACTCATATATGACTATAACTGAGGCCACATGATATGAGAATAAGTTTCTTTGATACAAATGACCAAGCCAAATAGCACTTTATATCACGGTAAAGTAGAAAAGTATAGAGCTTACAGTAGAAGGAACTTTTGCAATTGGATTTGCAGTAGAACTGTCACTGCTATAAGCATCCAATGGTGGAGGTAGCATACTCCCTGAACGGTATTGCATAGTATTTGTTGCTCCAGTGATTTGCTGAACCCTGCTCATTCAAAATTACAAAAAGAATTAACTAATCGTCTAAAATACCTGACCTCCATTACACTACATTTTCTCCACGTATATAGCACACTAAGAATAATCACGAGTACAAGAGAAACACTTAGAACAATATGGCAATGAAGATTACCTTGTATAGGCTGATATGATCTCATCTTTTGTAAAACTATCCTCTTGAGAGCCAACCTCATGCAAATAGAGGCAATCAGGATTGTTGCATGCCTGGGAACAGAAAAAAACAATCCATATTCAAATAATATCAGTTGCAAATTTCAACTGAAAAGAAGAAAGCTGAAAGAAAATTCTGGGAGCCAGAGAGCAGAACAAGAGTGCATATAGGACATACCGCGTTTCTTAACCATGCATGACAATACTTTGTTGTCCCAAAACATGCCCTGCAATATATAAAGGAAATAAATAAAGTCAATGGAGATAGTTACCATTGTACACAATCATTTTTAAACAACAGGGTGCTCGGCATAACTTACTTCAGTGCTTTACCATCCAAGATAAACCCATGGACAGATTGAATACATCGAACAGCCTCTTCCTCTTTGCCATAAGTGATATATCTGGATTAATAGCCGTTTATAATCAGAACATAATAATAATGCAAAACAAACATGTAAGGAATCCATTCATGCTAAAAAGAGAAATTTGGTTGATTAACACTAGAAAAAACGAAACTCACACACTGCATGTGTTGTTAGGGAACTGTTGGATGAGACCTGTTGCTGTTCGGGACATGGAAACCTTCAGAACCTTTCCATACTGACCAAAATACTCATTACGCTGGAGAAGCTAAGAAGAAAAAAATAAACTTTCCCGTCACTAAGTAGATCATATGATATAATTACAAGGATTTCGAGGAATAAATCACGTACATCTTCATCTGCTAGATTAAGGGGCAACCCAACAATGTAAACAAGATTTCTTCGAACCACTCGGACACTTGTTAGTGGCTTTCTCCCTTCAGAAGGTTTCAATTTTGACTTTTGTGTTTTTTTGCGATCCATGTTGCCTTCAGAGGTCAGTCTGAGAACAGGAAATAGATAAGAAACATCAGCAAACGAAAACTAACACAGAACAAAAGTCCACATCTCAGGTGCCATATCTCAACCTCTCTTGATCAACAGTCATCCCAACAATCTTTTCTTTATCATATGGAGTACGGCAAGCTGGACAGCGCCCTTCTGATTGATCTTTCTCTGCCATGTCCATTATGTGATGCCAGCACCAAACACAAATCTGTAAGATTGGAGGTAAATACATATCAGATCAGAAAATTATCAGCAGAACAACGGTCAATGATCTCTGAGGCCACCACAATAAGTATATACCACAATGCAGCCATCAAAGTAAAAGATAAAAAGCATAACTGAACCTAATTTTCCATCCTGATCACAAAAAAAAAATGTAAATCAGAAAGGATGTATGGACCTGATAGCCACATTTGCAGGGCTTCAATTGCTGGTCAGTCAAATCCATCTCCTCTGCACACAAAGGGCAAGTCTTTTCACCGTAATCACTCATTTTTTTCCTGAATAAGACAGAGATAAAAAGACTGGAATCAAAAGAAAAACAAGCAAAAGCTACCATACTGACAAAACTACATAAAACTTTGGTACTTGAGCAACTGGCTACATTGCTTAGATAATAAAAAAATGGACAATTTAACTAATAACAGTACAAATAGAACATCTTCCCGATCAAGAAACTAATATTATTCCAAAGATTCAAACTTTCAGATCGAAATCGAAAATCTAACAAGGCAAAGTCAAGAGGTAGCCATAATTAATCCGTGCATGTGACGCGACGGTTCAACGAACAAACAATCGAAAAGACATATCGACGACAATCAAAAATCTCCATAGAGATTCTACAATCCGAATCAGTAAACAAGTTGATCTCAAAACCAGAATTAGGGTTTTGAGAATCGGCGATTCAAATCCCAACATCAAAGAATCAATCACGACGATGAAGTGAAAACATACGGCTGAGTAGGGAGATTCGATCGGAGATTGTGGAAGAAGAAGAAGAAGATTGAGAGAAGTGGGAGATTGCAAGAGACAAGTGAGATTGGATGGCTGAGATTTTGGCCTTTTTTTTTAATATATATATATATATATATATATATATATATATAACCCTTTTAATCTCTTCCAGTTCCAGATCCACGATTGCATAACAAGAAGAGATAATATGGAAACAACTATACCCATAGATTCTTTGTTTATCACGGTTCTGCCACTGTCGCCGGTTCGATTATTTTCGGTTGGTGTCGGTTCAAAATTTTTAAGTTCTGGTTTTTGGTGGTTTTTTGTGCTTGTCGCTAGTGGCTCGTGGGTAGCATTTAAGCATGGGTCAGTGCTTGTGTCTACGAGCTCGAGTGATCGAGCACACATTCCAAACTTAACACCAAAAGAAAAAGAGAAAAAAATCAAAAGCTTTTAATGCGTTTCAGTACAAATTTTTTTGTGTCAAATAATCCGTTTTAATATTTGCACAGCAAAAAATTAAGGGAGACTCACAAAAATGCCCCTTTTTCAATACCCCTTTTCAAAAATGCCCTCTCCCTAATAGCTTATCTGAAATTGACCATTTTACCCTTAATGAGGCTTTGAATCAGGTTATAACCTAATTTAAAAAAAAAAATCTGGGCACGCCGTCACCCATATCCACACCCACAGGTTCTTAATCGAAATTTCAATTGCTGATCAAATCTTCATCATTCATCCGTTGAGAGTCAAATTGAGAGTTAAATCGACCTTCTTCTTCTATCAATATGATGAATCTCTCCGATCTGGATTCTCAACTCTTTGTAATCACACAAAAATCCTCTTTAATCTCTTCTTCTTCGGCGTAATTTTGATTTCACAGTTTCAATTTCGATTTCAAAATCAATTGTTGTTTTTGTTTGTGGAGTGATGAATCATGGGACTAGATTGTTGTTTATGTGCAGTGGATTACATCTTTTGTTTCCTAGAGAAGAAAGGCTCGTCAACTTACTTTTGCTTTACCACTTTTTCTTTCTAGCACACGAGTAAAGTACATTAATAACACTTTCTTTTGTCCATTATTAAACAATTTGATTCTTGCATAATGGCCTAATGAGTACATGTGTTAATTTATAAGACTGGAAAGACCTTAAGATTTGATATTATATTGTTTAGTTTGAGTGTTATGTGGTTTTGGTGTTTCTGATTTGTGTTCATAAGATTTTCAGAGAAATGATTGTGATTTGTGTTGTGGATGTGATCTAAAATATATTGTAAACCCTTTTAAATACACGTTGTAAAACTTTTAAAATATCTTGTAAAACATTTTAAAATTTTTAAAATAACTTTAAAATACTTTGTAAAACATTTTAAAACCTTTAAAATACCTTGTAAAACCTTTAACCTTGTAAAACCTTTAAAATACCTTGTAAAATCTTTAAATTTTAAAAACCTTATAAAACCCTTTATAAAATATTTTCAGTTTTATAAATCATCTTATACCTTATAAATACTTTGTAAAACCATTAAAAACCATGTAAAATCTTTAAAATATCTTGTAAACTCTTTTAAAACATGTTGTAAAACCTTTAAAATACATTGTAAAACCTTTAAAATACCTTGTAAAATCTTTAAATTTTAAAAACCTTATAAAACCCTTTATAAAATATTTTCAGTTTTATAAATCATCTTATACCTTATAAATACTTTGTAAAACCATTAAAAACCATGTAAAATCTTTAAAATACCTTGTAAACTCTTTTAAAACATGTTGTAAAACCTTTAAAATACATTGTAAAACCTTTAAAATATCTTGTAAAACCTTTAAAATACCTTATAAAACTAACATCACTATTTCATCAAACACATGTATTGAGTCACTTGTTGTATAATAATAGCAATCACTTTAACAATTAAAGCACCAAATATAACTATCAATAGTGTTACATGGAATTTTCTTATGTTACAAACTTATAAAATATGCATACAAGTTGAGTAAGTACTTTGTGGTACGTACAACATGGAACAAAATCATCATTAAATTTCTACTTTTCCAACGAATGCAATCGTATCAGAAGACGAGTTAGGAGGGTTTGGACATGTTTGATTCATCTTGTCAAGCTTCTTAGCAATGCCCAAAACTGCAGAACCTCTAGGTGAGGTGATTTGGTTCAATCTGCAGGTTATTTGAAAATATATGCACATGATGCTTGTCTTGAGGTGTTTTGCTTCAACCTGCAAGGATCTATACTAGCTGGGAGTGTTTTCGTGTGAACCTTTTATCATGGAACCAAACATTTGAAGTGGAATAAATCAAAGATGATATACACAAAGTTTAAGCACTATATAAAATCATTAACAGTAAAAAAACAAACCTTTAAAAAAGCATGTAAAACCTTTAAAAAATACGTTGTAAAATCCAGAACTTGAATAAATCAGAGATGATAAACACAAAGTTAAAGCAATAAAATCATTAACAGTAAAAAAAAAACCTTTGAAAAGCATGTAAAATACGTTGTAAAATCCAGAAGTGAAAATAATCATTGATATACAGATTTTGCTTGAATAACGCTTCTAAAAAACAGAGATCAGTTACCTGAAATTGACAGAGCCGGACACAGAGAGAGAGATACAGATCTCGCTTAAAAAATCGAATCCAGCAGATCTCGCTTAGAACGATAAAAAATCGTTAGAGGTTGAAAATCAAACACATCACAAGGGAGAGAACATATCTAAGAATAGAGAAACAGATTTAGGAATAGATCGTTGCGCGATTATGTTGATCGATTGGAACTAGATCTAGATCTAGGAATAGAGAGAGAGAGAGAGAGAGAGAGAGAGAGAGAGAGAGAGAGAGAGAGAGAGAGAGAGAGAGAGAGAGAGAGAGAGAGAGAGAGAGAGATAGCCGCTCGATGGAAGAGAAAGAGAGAGGAAGACAAAAAAAATCTGATTCTAGGGTAGAAAAGAGGAAGGGTATTTTGGTCAGTTTAGACATTTTTGAGGGGCATTTTTAAAAATCACCAGCTGAAAGGGGTATTATTAAAAAAGGGCATATGAAAGGGGGCATTATTAATAATTTCCCAAAAATTAAAGATAAAGAGAAACTTGTGAATTCTTCATTGTCACTCAAAATTTCGTTAAATACACTGAAAATACTTTTTAATTTTCATCTTTTTGGTGGTTATTTTATTTTGTTGTTCTTTAAATATCGGATAGTTTAAAAAATTATATGGAAGTAAATTTAAAATTTTAAAGAAAATTTAGTAAAAATGGATAGAAAAACTCTTACCTTTCTTTACAGCATATAAAAAACTGTTAACTTGTTTTGTTGGTTTTTAAACTCTCACCTTATCATAAATGGTCAAATAAACCCTATTAATAATGGTTTTTATCTAGCTCGTCTATTTTTTCAACTTTACCCTTAATCTCCGAAAAATATAGAGTAATCATACGAAAATTTTGACAATGTTGTATATCCCTTATTCGCTACCGTCAAGTTCGTAAAATTTTGACAAATATTATGTCGAAGCCTTCGCAATGAAGAGTTCAACTCTACTATTAGAATTTTTAAAAACCAGTGTATGTGACCGGAAAAATGTTTACAATATACGTACAAGGGTTATATTGCGTATTATTTAAGATTTCGTAGGATTAATCTATATTTTTCGGAGATGGAGGGTAAAATTACAAAAATGGGCGAGTTGGAGGGCTTTTTTTTTGCACAAACCCCTATAAATAAACTTAACTTAAATGCAAACAAATCATTATACCAAAACATAAATAACTATAAATAATTTGATTTAGGAGTTTTTATTCTAAAATTCTAGTTTACAATATTTTTCTAAATTGAAAACTTTGAAGTCATGATGTAACCCTTATATGTATCTTGTAAATGTTTTTTCCGGTCACATAAATTAGTTTTTTAAAATTTTAAAAATAGAAATGAACTCTTCATCGCGAGGGCTTCGATTTGACATATTATTTGTCAAACTTGAACGAAGTTGATGGTAGCGTACAAGGGTTACAATATTATAACTAATATTGATGAAATGATTTAGTTTGTATGGAATGATCAAATTATAACTAATATTGAGAATATGAGTGTTGGAGAAAAAAACCTAAATTTAACCCAACAACCATTTCCCAAAACCAGTTAAAATGGAGAACACAACAACAACAACAAAAAGGACGGAACTTGATCAGACCACGAACCAGAGTCTGTCATCGTTTCTGAATTGACAATGGTTGAGGAATAAGCGAATTCTGACCGTTAGGTTTTTTTTTTTTGAAGTCTTTTCTGGAGGGAGAGACCCGAGAAAGAGAGAACAGTTTGACTTTTGACTTTGAACAAGAAGAGACTTCTCCGATCTCTGAAGGTATGTTTTTTCTAGAGATCTTTGTTTTGGACTTCGTTTGACTTTTTCTTAGAAATTTTCATTGATCTGTGTTTTGGGGACGAAATTGGCCGTGTTACGATTTGATATTTATGGGTTTCGTCTTCTCGATGAAATTTGATTTCTGATTTGATGCTTAAAAAATAACTTGGTTTAGTCGCCTCTCTTTGAATGTGTAAGTGATTCGGCTAGGTAAGTGATTCGGTTAGGTAAGTGATTTGGCTAGGTAAGTGGGAGCGTTTATTGTGTTTCTCCTTATGACGTATTTGCAAAGTCATGTTGGGACCAAGATAAATGAGCATGAAGAGAAGAAGAGGGATACGAAGTGGCAAGTTCTCCTATCAAGAGTTAACCATAGATTTGTGGGTGTGGCCGAAGTCTTATGAAGCAATCTTCGTGAGGTGCAGAAGGATGTATCCGTGGTGAGGAATGCTTATGCTCAAGTACAATATTGGATCAGTTTTACACATGAAAACCTATTCATCTCCTCTCAATCAGTTTCCGAATCAGGCTTTGAAGGCATTCTTGGACCAGGAAGTCAAGAAATCTAGTCATGAGCCGACATAAATGGTATCTTTAATGAAATAATAAAGTTTGGTAATAATTATAAGAGATCGTCTTGGGAATTGAAGCTTAATCGTATGTTGCAACGAATAGATTCTATAAAAAAATAAAAATAAAGAGAGACCTTTCTCCCTCTTATCTCTCTCGCATCATTCAGAGAGTGAAATCTCCATTTGCTTTCTCCGATTAAAGTCAGAGACTTATGTTTTTTAGTTTTTCTGTTTATATTATGGCCTTCTGCCAGTTTCTATTTTCCAATTTTATATGATGTTTTCAAATCTTTAAAAAAATCAGAGTGTTTGTTTCGGACCTTTTGGATCATCAGTTGCTCGATCACAGCATTATTTTTACCAATCAATATAAATATTTCTAAATTGGCGTTTTTCTAAAATTTTTTTTTTTTTTGAGGAATTACCAAAAGTATTTAGTTATGTACCGCCTTTTAAATCAAAGCAGTATTTACCTAGCTGTCTAACCAAAACACATTGGATAATACATTTTTTTTTCTTTTTCAAATTTGTACTATTAAAACTGATTATATATACACCTAATATGTATTCCTAGACTTATACACATACAAAGAAAAATAGTTCTCTCTCACTAACATTATTATCTCACACCCTCTCAAATATATGGCTAATGTTATTTTTTTTTCTTTGCCTTTAAATAGGTATTTCATATAATAATTTTTGCTTGCATTAATTTTATTGAATAATTTTATTTTATGTAATAAATATAAATTATTTTGGTTACTCAAATATTAATTAAAATTTGAATTATTATATTTGTAATGTATTTATGATTGTAAGAGTAAATATTAAATATCTTTTTATATATGTATCCCGCAAATTATTTTTCAGCAATCAAACATTATTTCATACCGCTTATTCTATAAAAACTGCATTTATTCCGTAAATATATTTTTTTCGAATGTACTGAAGTGTACTGTACTTTCAAACTGTTTTCTCCATATATCCAATGACACTGTTACCATTAAGATCCTAAAAATGACCATATCTATAGTTTTCCACTAATTTAATCATATAATAATAATATCATTAACACTCATAAACCACATGTGGTATATAATACTAATATTAAATTTAACCGCATAAATACAATTTCAAATATGTAACGTAAAAATACTAAATTAATTCCTGAACGAATAAAACGAGTATATTATTTATTTATTAATCGTATAGAAACGATTTTGATCCAATCAAGATTTTAATTATTAAAATCCCCACGTTATTTATGTTTAACAAAAAAAACTTTAAAGCAACACGAAATAGTATTAGAAAATAACTATGGCAGATAGATAAAAAAACTGTAAAGGACGTTGAGAAGACGGAAGACCGTTGACAAAGTCAACAACAAACACCAATCGTCGATTTGAGGCGGCTCTAATCTCAACCACACGATCTTCCCATCTTTCTCTTCTTCTTCATCTTCTTCTTCCTCGCAATTACCGCGAAAACTCATCTCTGCTCAATCCTCAGTTTCAGTCTCTGTATTGACTCTTGACTGTTATATAAAAACCATACAATACCTTCAGATTCACTACTTCAAACCTCAAACCAACCACTGAAGCTTGACTTTGATCGATTGAGAGAGAGAAATGAACACCGGTGGCGGCCAATACACGGATTTTCCGGCGGTGGAAACTCACGGAGGACAGTTCATAAGTTACGATATCTTCGGTAGTTTATTCGAGATCACATCTAAGTATCGTCCTCCGATTATACCAATCGGTCGTGGAGCTTATGGAATCGTTTGGTATGTTTCGTTCTCTGAGCTTTTTCTTTAAGTTTCTTCTTTGAGATCGGAGTTTTTGATATTTTGGATTTTGAATTTTGTGAAGCTCTGTGTTGGATACGGAGACCAACGAACTTGTAGCTATGAAGAAGATAGCGAATGCTTTTGATAATCATATGGATGCTAAGCGTACGCTTCGTGAGATTAAGCTTCTTCGTCATCTAGATCATGAAAACGTTAGTGTTTTTTTTCCTTTGATTTTTGTGAAATTATCTGTAGAAAATTAGTGAATGAAATCATGATTAGGGTTTTGGTTTGTCAACAGATTATAGCTATAAGAGATGTTGTTCCACCACCACTACGAAGACAGTTCAGTGATGTTTATATTTCTACTGAATTAATGGATACTGATCTTCATCAAATCATCAGATCTAACCAGAGTTTATCAGAAGAACACTGTCAGGTAACTAAAACTGTTCTTGGTTTATTTGGTTTCCAAGGTAGATGAAACATGAATGATGAAACTGATATGAATCTTCTTGATATGAAACAGTACTTCTTGTACCAGCTACTTCGAGGGCTTAAGTATATCCACTCAGCTAACATTATACATAGGGATTTAAAGCCGAGCAATCTTCTGTTGAACGCGAATTGCGATTTAAAGATTTGTGATTTCGGTCTTGCTAGACCGACTTCAGAGAATGACTTCATGACTGAGTATGTTGTTACGAGATGGTATAGAGCACCTGAGCTTCTGTTGAACTCTTCAGATTACACAGCTGCTATAGATGTTTGGTCTGTTGGTTGTATCTTTATGGAGCTTATGAATAGAAAGCCTTTGTTTCCTGGTAAAGACCATGTTCATCAAATGCGATTATTGACAGAGGTAAAAGATTAGAAAGTTATCTACTTTTTGTATGGTTTAAAGATTCTGCTTTTCACGGAATATGTGATGAATTTGTGTGGATTTTGCAGTTGCTTGGCACACCGACAGAAGCTGATCTCGGGTTTACACACAATGAGGATGCGAAAAGATACATCCGGCAACTTCCCAACTTCCCACGCCAGCCGTTAGCAAAACTTTTCTCTCATGTTAACCCATTGGCCATTGATCTAGTTGACAGAATGTTGACGTTTGACCCCAACAGAAGAATCACTGGTAAGTTACATATATGCAGTAAATGTTCTCTGTTGGTTTCTTACCATCACTATCGTTTGATTCAAAACTGAAAATACCATCTTTGTGCAGTTGAACAAGCTCTGAATCACCAGTACCTTGCTAAATTACACGACCCGAATGATGAGCCAATCTGTCAAAAGCCCTTCTCTTTCGAGTTCGAACAACAGCCACTGGACGAGGAACAGATAAAAGAGATGATTTACCAAGAAGCCATAGCACTCAATCCAACATACGCCTAGAAGAGCAGCAGCCCCGTGATTGCCCGGTATTACCCAATAACCATCCGAATGGCTGCTTAGTATCTTTGCCCGTTCTTTTATTCATGTACTTCTTCCACATATGTAATCTTGTAATTCTATTTGTTTGTTAATGTTATTTACTACTAGTGATTGAGTGTAGCTCCAATGTAAAGTACTCCATATATGAAACCATATCTATAGACTTTTTTTACCTCACATACTTGAGTCTTCCCTAGTAAATATAGTTTTGTAATGTACCGATCTCTCAAATTTAGTGGGAGCTATTGTAGAGAGCTAGAACCAGAGTCAACACTGTTGCCGTGAGTAGTCTCTTTCTCCTTTAATGACGTTAAAGATATTTTGGTGGGCTTGGCTCTAGGTAGCTTGCATTATTGAACTATAAATGGTCAATTCCTTAGCAATAATTAGGCACAAATGTGTCTTTCTTTAGTAATATCCTTTACCTGACAATTTAGAGTTGACTTCTTAAACGTTGGGTTGGAAATAATGTTGTCTTTACACAGGCTGTTCTAAGCTGACAGTGATGGCTCAACTTGCATCAACGTAAAGCTTTGAGTTTTGTTTACTTTCTTAATGTTTCTTGTTTGAAGCTGCTGCGCATGGAGAATAAAATATCGTGGACCCGTCATTGCTGTATTATTACTTACACTGTATATATGTTTCAGAACTTCAGGCCATTGTTGACAAAAATAGTGAAAGATTTTTCTGCTTGATTTTGAGACATGGCTAGTTCAGTTACAGGCGATGCGGAAACAGTGATATCAGCAGATTCAAGCACCAAACGCAGCGGTGGAGGTTGGATCACTTTTCCGTTTATGATAGGTGAGAGATTCTGTTTCTATGTTTTTATCTTTCTCATAACTTGGTAACCATTAGAAACTTAGAAGAAGAAATTTAAGCTATCTTATCTTTCTATGGCGCAGTTACGTTGTTAGGCTTGACAATAGCTGCGTGGGGTTGGTTACTTAACTTGATCGTCTACTTGATTGAGGAATTCAATGTGAAGAGCATCGCAGCGGCTCAGATTGCTAACATTGTTAGTGGTTGTATCTGTATGGTTCCAGCTATGGCAGCCATTGCTTCTGACTCTTTCTTTGGAACCATTCCTGTTATCTCAGTTTCAGCTTTCATTTCTCTTATGGTAACGTTAATAAAGACTCACTCAACATCTGTTTTTATCAATTCCTCTCTGGAACAGAAATTCACTGATTTTACTCATTGATCAGGGCGTAGCTCTGCTGACTCTAACCGCTTCGCTTGACTCTTTAAGACCTAGAGCCTGTGAAACAGCTTCAAGCCTATGCCAGTCTCCTTCGAAAACCCAGCTCGGAGTTCTTTACACGGCCATAACTCTAGCCTCTATAGGAACGGGTGGGACACGGTTCACATTAGCAACTGCTGGTGCGAACCAGTATGAAAAAACTAAAGACCAAGGAAGCTTTTTCAACTGGTTTTTCTTCACTACGTATCTTGCCGGAGCTATAAGTGCAACCGCCATTGTCTACACTGAAGACAACATCAGCTGGACCTTGGGGTTTGGTCTGTCCGTAGCCGCTAATCTCTTCAGTTTTTTGGTTTTCATCTCGGGGAAAAGATTCTACAAGCACGACAAGCCTTTGGGAAGTCCCTTCACAAGTCTACTATGCGTCATTTTCGCCGCGGTACGCAAAAGAAAAGCTGTGGTTTCCACCAACGAAAAAGACTACCACAATGAATCTATCACAATGCCCACAAAGAGTTTCAGGTAGAAAAACCCGCTCGAAAACCACAGTAATAATGTTGCACTGAGAGGCCATTTTAATGAGTTCTCAAATATGCAGGTTCTTTAACCGTGCAGCGTTGAAACAAGAAGACGAGGTTAAACCAGACGGCTCAATTCGCAATCCCTGGAGACTATGCAGCGTTCAACAAGTAGAAGATTTCAAAGCAGTCATAAGAATCATCCCTCTTGCGTTAGCTACAATATTCTTAAGCACTCCAATCGCAATGCAGCTAAGCTTAACAGTTCTTCAAGGTCTGGTGATGGACCGGAGGCTTGGCCCTAGCTTCAAAATCCCTGCAGGCTCTCTCCAAGTCATAACACTTCTCTCCACTTGCCTATTTATCATAGTCAATGATCGGTTTCTCTATCCATTTTACCAAAAGTTAACGGGAAAGTTCCTTACACCGCTCCAACGAGTCGGTATAGGCCATGCTTTCAACATTCTAAGCATGGCCGTGACTGCCATAGTTGAAGCAAAGCGATTGAAGATAGTACAGAAGGGTCATTTTCTCGGATCATCATCCGTTGCTGACATGTCAGTCTTGTGGCTCTTCCCACCTCTAGTCATAGTAGGAATTGGTAAGGATTTGATTCCCGATAATAATTCATTCTACTCGAGTTGAGATCAATCCAATCATGTTTTTGGTTTTGTCTTTTGGTTGCAGGAGAGGCCTTCCATTTCCCAGGGAATGTAGCTCTGTGCTATCAAGAGTTTCCAGAGTCTATGAGAAGCACCGCAACATCGATTACCTCGGTGGTGATTGGGATATGTTTCTACACAAGCACTGCTTTGATTGATCTGATTCAGAGGACCACCGCGTGGTTACCAGATGACATAAACCACGGAAGAGTTGACAATGTTTACTGGGTTTTAGTAATTGGAGGAGTCTTGAATCTTGGCTATTTTCTTGCGTGTTCTTTGGTTTACAGATACAGAAACCTCAAGGATGATGATCATGAGCAATCTGCAAATGTCTCTCACTGATATTTTAAGCTGGAGAGAAAGAGAGAAAGAACATGTCCTTTGTTGTTATCATTTGCATTACTGTATAGCAGAGGGCTTTGTCTGAAAGTATCTTCAATTTGTGGCCATTGAAAACAATTTTTCGTATGTAGAATTGATTTGGAAATTTGTGGTAATATAATCGTATTGTTTATGTGATTCCTGAGTAGAAACCAGTAACACAATTGATGTTGATCATGTGATACTTCTGTAGTGCTTAAGAAAAAAATCTCGTGATTCTCGGGCTGCTTCTTGATGTTTTCTGTTTTTGACAGGGACACTCAAGACATTAGTAGAGATTTTGCAGGAGTTATGATTAAGGAAGCTGGTGAATCTGAATATGCGGAATATAACCATTATTAAAGAGGAAAGGGGTTAGGTAATGAATCAGACGATGAAGACGGTAATGGTATTGGTAATGTTGATGACAATAGTGCAGATGACAATAAATATTCCTCTGAAGATGAATGGAGATATGGTGAATCTTGGATGAACAATAATATATTGGTAGCAACGAAGCTTGTCGCAGTGAGTAGTCTATTATCATTCAATAACTTGCAGATTGTTTTGTGGGCTACTTGCATTATTAATGTATGATGAAAATCTTAGTAATAAAAGACAACTTGGTCTTTCTTTAGTAATTTCTATACATGACATGTTAAGTTGACTTCTTAAATGTTATTAGCTTGAAGATGACATGTTAATTACTAGGTTTTTCTTTCACACAGGCTGTTCGAAGCTGACAGAGATAGTTTAACTCGCAGCAACAACCGCTTTGAGAGATAGTTTAACTCGCAGCAACAACCGCTTTGATTTTTTTAGTTTTTCTTATGAGACGAGAGGCTGATGCACATGGAGAATAAAAATATTGTGATCATTGGTTTGAATCATTCTTCTTCTTGTTTCATTTGCTTATATATATGCTTCAATATTTCTGACAATTGTTGGAAACTTAGTGAACATCACTTCTTGCTTTTCATAAATGGCTGGTTTTGTTTCCCATGATGCAGAAGCACCGATTTCAGCAGATTCTAGTACCAGACGCTCTGGCGGCAGGATCACCTTTCCGTTTATGATAGGTAATGTAGTTTCTATGTTTTCATTATCTTTTTGAGTGAATGTAAAATTTATTCATCAAAAAACCGTTGTTACATCGAGTGTATCGTTTTTGAAACTTTGAAAGTACTACAATCTATAATTAAATCCGAGTGGAAAGCCAAAATATGAACAAGTCTTCACACTTGTTGTTTCCAGAAGTCCGAAGTAGAGTGATGCGGTTACGAATATTTTTGTCGATGATTTTACCAATTATGTTTTCATTATCGAGTAACTTCATATAGCAACAGAAAAAGAAGAGACTATATGTATATTGAAAAGCTACTTTCTTTGGTGCATTCACTCTGTTTGGCCTGACATTAGCTACGTTGGGATGGTTACTGAACTTGATTGTCTTCCTGATCGAAGAGTTCAACATGAAGAGCATCGCAGCCGGCCAGCCGCGAAGATTCTCGACATTTTTAGTGGTTTTACCTTTATGTTCCCAGCCATTGGAGCCATTGCAGCTGATTCTTTCTTCGGGACAATTCCTGTTATCTCGGTTTCAGCATTTATTTCTCTAGTGGTAAAGTTGATTTGACTCACTCTCAGAACTCACCAATTCTTCTACTCCTTGATCAGGGCGTAGTTCTGCTGGCTTTAACCACTTTGTTTGACTCTTTAAGACCCCAAGCCTGCGTAACAAAATATGCCAAGCCCCTACGAACATCCAGCTCGGTGTCCTTTACACGGCAATAACTTTAGGCTCTGTGGGAGCAGGTGGGCTGCGGTTCACCTTGGCCACCGCTGGTGCGAACCAGTATGAAAAAACTGAAGACCAAGGCAGCTTTTTCAACTGTTTTTTCTTCACATGGTATCTAGCTGCCTCTATAAGTGTAACAGCCATTGTCTACACCGAAGAAAACATCAGCTGGAGTTTTGGGTTTGGTTTATGTGTAGCTGCTAATCTGTTAGGCTTGATGGTTTTCATCTCGGGGAAAAGATTCTACAAGCATGAGTGCATGACAAGCCTTTGGGAAGTCCCTTCACAAGTTTACTTCGCGTCATCTTTTCTGCATTACTTAAAAGAAAAGCTGTGGTTTCCACCAACGAGAAAGACTACCACAGTGAATCAAAGAAGCCGCCAACAAAGAGTTTCAGGTAAAACTGCTGTTTCGGTCTGATTTTTTTCAAGAAAGAGTAGCATTGAGGCCATCTAACAAATCCTCGTGTACGTAGGTTCTTTAACCGTGCAGCATTGAAACAGGATGATGAGGTTAATGCAGACAGCACAATTCGCAATCAATGGAGACTATGCAGCGTTAAACAAGTGGAAGATTTCAAAGCAGTCATAAGAATAATCCCTCTTGTGTTAGCCATAATATTCTTGAGCACTCCAATAGCGATGCAGCTAGGCTTAACAGTACTTCAAGGTCTGGTGATGGACCGGAGACTTGGCCCTCACTTCAAAATCCCTGCAGGCTCTCTCCAAGTCATAACACTTCTCTCCACTTGCCTGTTTCTCATAGTCAACGATCGGTTTCTCTACCCATTTTACCAAAAACTAACCGGAAAGTTCCCCACACCGATACAAAGGGTGGGAATAGGCCATGTTTTCAACATTATAAGCATGGCCATGACTGCCATAGTTGAAGCAAAAAGATTAAAGATAGTACAGAACGTTAATCTTCTTGAATCATCATCCGTTGCTGACATGTCAGTCTTGTGGTTATTCCCTCCTCTAGTCATAGTAGGAATCGGTAAGGAATTGGATCCAGATAATTTATTCGACTCAAAAGTGAGTTCAATCTATTTATGTTCTTGGTTTTGTCTTTTGGTTGCAGGAGAGGCCTTCCATTTCCCAGGGAATGTAGCTCTATGCTATCAAGAATTTCCAGAGTCTATGAGAAGCCCCGCAACATCGATCACCTCGGTGGTGATTGGGATATGCTTCTACACAAGCACTGCTTTGATCGATCTGATTCAGAGGACAACCGCGTGGTTACCAGATGACATAAACCATGGAAGAGTTGACAATGTTTACTGGGTTTTAGTTATAGGAGGAGTCTTGAATCTTGTCTATTTTCTTGTGTGTTCTTGGTTTTACAAATACAGAAACCTCAAGAATGATGATCATGAGCAAGATGCTTCTGTCTTTCTGTCATGATCTTAAAAGAAAAGGTCCATTATTATCATCTGATGTTTTAGCTTTGTCTGAAACTATGCTACTTTTCTCTGCTCTTCCAAAACTTTGGTCTCACGTATTTGCAGCATCCTCAACTTTGATCATTGAGTCTCAGGAGACTTTTACAAATCAGGTCAATGATGACTCTATTGTGTGTACTCTATTATAACATGTATCAACAAGTATATTCTCTGTTATCTTATAAAAGGAACATAGTTCTCTCTTTCTTTTCCACAGAGGATTTAGCCAATTAATGAAAAATAGATAGCTTCAGGTTGCATATACATCACTTTGAAAGAAAAAAAGTGATGTATTATTAACAAAATTTCTTCAAATGAAAACCTAGATATAGAGCTAAACTCATGTCTTATCGTTTTCATCAGTCATTCCCTGGATAAGTTTGGGTGGCGCACCACATTAAGCTCTTTTATGAGTTGACTTATCGACAGTAGTTTATAGAGAAAAATGTCGGAAAATGCGCGAACTTTCAAATTTGGAACAAAAAAGCATGAACTTTCGAAATGTCATTTAAATCATAAAGTTTAGTTTGACTTTTGATAAAATAGTTAAGTTTTCGTTGACTTGGCCATTTCGGGCATGTCGTTAAATTTCCGTTAAAGAGACGCTCACGGGGTTAACTTATTAGACAAACTAACATAACTAAATAATTACTCAACAACCGAACAAGTAATTTATTAGACAAACTAAACCGCTACTGTTTTGGCTACCATAACTAAATACAAAATCCACCCATTTGCATTAGAAAGAGAATACCGACTTAGCTTGGTAAAAATATTAGCAAGATCATCAGATTCTAAATGTCCATTAGATTCTAAAATCCGTTTGACATTTTTGTTGTTCTACTAAAGATATGAAGATTCTCACCTAGAGAGTTGTGGTAACTTGACTGACAAGATAAAAGAAACAAGGTTACATGGGGTTGCTGTTTCCATTGACTGGTCATTTAGTCCACTAAAAATGTTAGTGGAGGCTCCATTTGATCTCTACCTTATCCTTAATCATCCCAACCACTACCATTTGATGAGAAAAAGAGACCCACTATTAGAGATCTTGTGACCATAGAGCATAGTAAATTCAGAAGAAGAAGTGTTGTTGTTACTTATTCTCTAGAAGAAGAAAACTAGTTTTGTTGTTTACAGGCTCAATCATATATTCTACTAGAGGAATATATGACTGAGCCTATAAAGAACGTCTAGTACCATAATCAATGATTAAAGTTCAACTTAGTCCACTTAATAATACTCGATGATGCTTATTGAAAGTAAATAAACCTCAGAGGAATCTTACCATTTACACTCTTATCTCTGATGTCTGATCAATAAAATAGAATGTGTAAAGGCAAAGTATACTCTCTGGCCACTATTGCTGATTAGTGGAAGGTCTGGCAAAATTCTTTTTAACTTGTTTATTATTACTTTCACCACGTGATTCTGGAACACGACAATAGTTGATGAAATGTCAGAATTCGGTTAGGTAATATTATATAATTGGACTAAACATGATCATTAGCAAATCATTGCACAACAGAATTACTCTGTACTTGCTTATATATACTACTCCCTCTGTTCCTAAAAGATTGATGTTCTAGCTATTATTGTTTGTTCCACAAAGATTGATTTTCTAGCAATTTTTTTTATTTTTATTGAATTATAATAATAAATTGTAAACTTCAAGATACAATGATTATAAATCATTAACTTTTTTAAACTACTATTGGTTGATAATTATTAAAAATATTTAAAATTAAAAACAATGTTAAAATGATTAAACAATGATTGAGTTCTTAATATGTGTGAAGAATCCAAAACATCAAACTATTAGGAACGGAGGGAGTACTATTTAGTGTTTTTATTTCTAATTGCATCATAACACACAAACACAGTGCACGTAACTCCTCTGTTTCCTCTGTTTTCTGTCATGGCTAGTGTAGTCTCTGGTGGTACAGAAGCTCAAAGCTCTGGCGATCCAAGAAGCAAGCGCGGTGGCTGGATCACTTTTCCGTTCATGATCGGTTAGCTAGTGTTTTTGATTTTTTTTTTTTGGTTTTATGTTTTTGAAACCAAAACAGTGATACATGTTGATAATTGTTTGGTTCTATGTGGTGCAGCTACGTTGTTAGGCCTTTCAGTGACTTCTTTCGGATGGGTAATGAACTTGATCGTCTTCCTAATCGAAGAGTTCAACATCAAGAGCATCGCTGCTGCGCAAATTTCAAATATTGCCAATGGATGTCTCAGCATGTTGCCTGTTGTTGCAGCCATTTTAGCTGACTCTTTCTTCGGGAACATTCCCGTCATCGTGGCCTCTGCTTTCATTTCTCTGCTTGTAAGTCCAAGACTCATTCTGTTCCATCAATTCTCTTTTATGGTCTGATAAGCTCACCAGTATATTAAAACTTTTGTTAGGGCATCATTCTCTTGACTCTTATTGCATCTTTGGACTACTTGAGACCCCGACCGTGTGGAACGGGGTCAATCCTATGCACATCTCCATCAAAACTCCAGCTCGGGATCTTGTATGCAGCATTAGCTCTAGTCACCACTGGATCAGGTGGGACGCGGTTCACCATGGCATCCGCGGGTGCAAACCAATATGAGAAGCCTAAAGAACAAGGAAGCTTCTTCAACTGGTACTTCCTCACACTATACATTGGAGCTATTACTGGCGCAACATCAATTGTATATATACAGGACAATGCTAGCTGGAAACTTGGGTTCGGTCTCTGCGCTGCTGCTAATTTGATCAGTTTCATAGTTTTTGTCTCTGGGAAGAGATACTACAAGCATGACAAACCAATGGGAAGTCCCTTCACGAGTCTGATCCGCGTTGTAGTCGCTGCTACAGCAAAAAGGAAGGCTATGGTCTCATGCAAAGAAGAAGACTATCACCGTGGGCTGGGAAAAGAGGCCAGAACTTCTGTTGCAATGCCCTCCAAGAGCTTCAGGTGAAAACAAAAATATTGCTTGATTTTCTGAAAGTTAAAACCAAAACTGAAAGTTCTTTACATGTGAAGGTTCTTGAACCGTGCAGCGTTGAAGACCGAAGACGATGTAAATAAAAAAGACGGCTCAGATATTAACATATGGAGGCTATGCTCTGTACAGGAAGTAGAAGATTTCAAAGCCATTCTCCGAGTTTTGCCTCTATGGTTATCCATCATCTTCGTTAGTACTCCTATGGTGATGCAAACAAGTTTGATTGTACTCCAAGCTCTAGTCACCGACCGTGGGCTTGGTCCTAACTTCAAAGTCCCGGCCGGTTCCCTCCAAGTAATAATAATCATCACTGCATGCATTGTTATCATCATGAACAACTGGCTTGTCTTTCCAATGTACAAGAAGCTAACTCAGAAGTTGCTGACACCGCTGCAAAAAGTCGGTATAGGCCAGGTTCTCACCATTCTTAGCATGGCACTCTCTGCGGTTGTGGAAGCAAAGAGACTGAAAACAGTTGAAAATGAGCATCCTATGTCAGTGTTATGGTTGTTTCCTCCCCTTGTGATAGTAGGTATAGGTGAAGCCTTTCAATTTCCGGCGAATATTGAATTATTTTATGGAGAATTCCCCGAGTCTCTGAGGAACACTGCGACTTCATTGACCTCGGTGGTGATTGGAATCTCTTTCTATCTAAGCACAGCTCTTATCGATCTTATCCACAGGACCACTGCGTGGTTACCAAATGACATAAACCACGGAAGAGTGGACAATGTTTACTGGATTTTAGTCATTGGAGGAATCTTGAATTTCGGCTACTTCCTTGTGTGTTCTTGGGTCTACAAATACAGAAACCTCAAGTGTGATGATCATGAACAAGATCCAAAAGATGTTACAACGTAAAGACTCAACATGTTCTGTTCTAGTTCTCTTTGCATTAAGTATCTCCATGTCTTGAATCAATATCTTACATGCTCCTGTTAGCTTTTGTGTTTTTATTTGTTTGCAATTTTTACCAAGTGTGTTTTTGTATGTTTACCACTTTACATATTGAACTACATTTAGAAAATAATACTTTCAAACTGATGCAAGAGAGAAATCATCTGATTCTTGCAATAGACCTCATCTTATCTTATCCCTCTTATGCAATTGCAACAATCAGTCTCTTCTAAAAAAACAGAGTATATAACATGTGAGAAAAAATGGTTCCCTTACTTTTAGGGGTTTTATTTATTTTTGACCACAAAAAACAATCATTTTTGTATTTGGTGGAATAGGGATTTGGTGTTGTTAGCCTTAGTAACTATTTACTAATTGTAGTCCTGGGCAAATTTTGTGAGTTATGGATTTTGAATTGTGTAATTAACAAAGAATAGTGTTTTTATATAGAAAACAATTGTTGGGTACTTTTTAAAAATATAATAATAAAAATATATTGTCTACAAATATTTGGTGTATAGAATGGTGGATGGTTATCTCGAGAAATATATGGTGTACGGTGGATCGTAAATAGTTTACGCAGACAATATTTAGTCTATATAAACATTAAAAGATTTTCATGAATAGTGGATGGTTTTCATTATGACGTTGGATAGTTCTCATGGACAATTGATAGTTCTCGTAGATAGTGGACGGTTTCGTTGTGGAGAATGTATAATTATTTATTACAAATAAAATAATAAAAGAGATAATTTATAACAATAATTATTTTGTTAATATATATATAATTATTAGTTTATATTATTTTCAGTTTTCTAGGGTAAACTAAATTAAACATTTTATCAACTCAGCATCTTATTTCCTAATTGGTTAGAAAACGTAAAAAATAAAGGTACATACTCAACATGTCATTAACATGAAGTGTACTCATTCCTCACACTATAACTCAAAAACTAACTACTCCTTAATTATTATTCTTATAAAACTCCCTTAACCCAATACAAAATTAAAGTTTAAGATATATTTTTTATATATTCTTAGTGCTTTTTCAAAACAATAAACATTATAGAGTTATGTTTTTGTTTTATAATAGTGAATTTGTATTATCGGTGTCTTACCAAAAAAAAATAGTGAATTGGTGTTATTAGTATTAATCAGTATTCACAATTCACTAATTATATTGAGTTGCAAAATTGTGAGTTATAGATTATTAATTGTGTAATTAAGAGAAAATAATGTTTTCTTATGTAAATGAGAGTGATAAGTGGCCCAGGTGAGAGCAAAATTCAACTTTTATATACATAATTTAAAGTGTGCATAACCATAACACCATTTAGTGTGAATCTTGACTAAATCAAATCTCAATACACTTTTCAAGATAATGGAATTAAATTTACATTAATGATTAGTCAAACTTTTGTTTTAATATATTTATGTTTTGCGGATGATTAGTGAATACTGTTATTGATAAGTTGTCTAAATTCGGTAAAGTGGACCATACATGATCATTAACAAATAATTGCACAACATAATTACTATGTACTTGCTTATATATAGTATTTGGGGCTTTTTATTTGACTGCATAATCAAAAACAACACAAGTTTTATAGATAGTATTTGGGGCTTTTTATCGGACTGCATAATCAAAAACAACACAAGTGAAAGTAATTTCCTCTATTCTTTATCATGGCTGGCTGCCAGGCTCAGTCTCAGCTAAAATAGAAGCTCAGAGCGCTGACTAGGCTTGGGCAAAAAAACCACTAACCAAATAACCGACCGAACCGAACCAAAAAAAACCGAACCATATCCGAACCGAAGTTTTTAAAATAACCGAATAGTTTGTAAAATCCCCTATCCAAACTAACCGAAACCGAACCGAACCGAACCGATAACCAAACGGTTAACCGAAATATCCAAAACCCTATAAGATACCCAAAAATAATATCCAAAACTATAATTATAAACTCAAAATATTAATTATTTTCAGAATCAAAACAATCAAATACTTTAAATAATCAAAATATTCAAATATTGTTTGTTATATTTGTCAAAGTTAAATACTCTTTTACAAAATTGAATCAAATTTTTTTTTTTTTAATATTTTAATTCTTTTGTATTTTTTTGGTTAATTTTGGTTAGTTTCGGTTAGTTTCGGTTATATTCGGTAAATTTCGGTAAATTTGGGTAAAAACCCGAACCAAACCGAACGTGATAAAAATTTGGTTAGTTACGGTTATCTATTTAAATATCCAAACCGAACCGAACCGAAAGGTAACCGAACCGAACCGAACCGAAATTCTTAAAATATCCGAATGGTTATTATATTACCATATCCAAACTAACCGAAACCGAAAATAACCGAACCGAAACCGAATGGTTAACCGAATGCCCAGGCCTAGCGCTGACGATCCAAGAAGCAAGCGCGGTGATCGGTTTGTGTTTTTTGGAATTTTCTGTTTTATGTTTTTTAATCCAAAACAGGCAAAATATTATGATTGTGGGGTTCTATGTGGTGCATCTACTTTTTTAGGCCATTCCATAACTTCATTCGGATGGGTATTGAACTTGATCGAGATTCAACATCAAAAAATTTCATGCTGCCCATATTTCAAATATTGCCAATGGATGTCTCAACATATTGCCTATTGTTGCATACATTATAGCTTATTCTTTCTTTGGTAACATTACCATCATCTTGGTGAGTAGATTTCTTTTAATTTAGATTGAAACTATTTTAATTTATGAGATTTTTACGAAAGATATGTTTTTGATATCTTACCGAATTAAAAAAAAATATGCTTATCATTTTCTAATAGCAGTAGTGTAAAAATTAGTGGCATTAAGAATTTTTTCGTCATGAATTCATATCATGTGATGTAAACATATGTTTGATACTCTTTAGATTATCTAAACGGCAGGTATATATCATGAATCTCAATCTTAAACTATTAAATCACCATATACTTAAAATTTTATGTGGTTGGTAATAAGTAGTAGAAGCTTATTAAATGTTTTAGGCGTAGGGATGGATCATATTTAAGATTTCATTACTCATATTCAGATTCAGACCTTCAAGATATCTTAATTTTGAGTTTATTAATCATAAATATTATGTTTGAAATTGGCATGCAATATCTAAATGTTGCAGTCTAGATTTGATCTTAATTTTCTTAATTTACTAACAAATTTTGATTTTCTTACATTTTTTAGACTCCGTCTAACAAGATACGATATGAAAGAAAAGCATCATCATCAATATATATTGATCGAAAAAAAACACGCCCAGTGTCTAGACCTGAAAGAAAATCATCATCATCAAACTGTATTTATGAAACAAATGTGCCATCAACATCATATATAAACAAATGCACCATCAATAAATACTTACTTCATCATATGTTATTGATGGCGCATTTGTTTCAGACATACATTTTGATGTTGATGGCAAATTTGTTTCAAAAATACAGTTTGATGATGATGATTTTCTTTGAGATCTAGACACTTAGCGTGTTTTTCTTGGATCAATATATAGATACTGATGTTGATGCTTTTCTTTCATATCATTTCTTGTTAGATGAAGTCAAAAACAAAAGTATAAAAAAATCAAAACTTGTTAGTAAATTAAGATCAAATCTTGACTACAACATTTAGATATTGCATGCCAATTTTAAACATAATAGTTATGATTAATAAACCCAAAATTAAGATACTTTGGAGGTACGGCTATGAATACGAGTAACGAAATCTTAGATATGATTCATCTCTACCGGCCATGAAATTTAATAAGCTTCTACGATTTATTACCAACCACACATAAATTTTTAACTCTACGGTGATTCAATAATTTAAGTTTGAGATTCATGACATATACCCGCCGCTTAGATAATCTAAAGAGTATAGACATATGTTTACATCACATAATATGAATTTGGAAGGAAATTAAGTTCATGACGAAAAAAATCTTAATGCCATGACTTATTTTTTCACTATTGGTATAAAAAAATGATAACATATTTTTTATAAATTCGGAAAGATATCAAAAAAATATCTTTCGTAAAGATATAGATTAAAATAGTTTCAGTTCAATCACTTGTGAGTCCAAGACTCATTGATTCTCTCATGTGTTCTGATACACAAAGCTTACCAGTTCTTAAACGTTTGCAAGGCATCCTTCTCTTGACTCTGATTGCATCATTGGACTACTTGAGACCTCAAACGTGTGAAATGGACTCAATTGTATGCCAGTCGCCATCGAAATTATAGCTAGAGATCTTATATGCAGCCGTAGCTCTACTAACAAGTGGATCAAGTGGGTCGCGGCTCACCTAGGAATCCGTAGGTGCAAACCAATATGAGACAATACTATTATTGGTGCAACATCAATTGTATATATACATGACAATGCTAACTGAAAACTTGGGTTTTGTATATGCGCTGCTGCTAATTTGATCAGTTTTATTGTTTTCATTTTTGAGAAGAGATTCTACAAGCATGTTGCTGGAAGTCCTTTTACAAATCTGATCCCTGTTGTAGTTGATGGTACATCCCAGGAAGAAGACTATCACTGGGGGCTCGAAAAAGAGGCCAGCACTTTTGCCATGCCCGCCAAGGGCTTTAAGTGAAAAAACAAAAGAGCTTGCTTGATTCATGACACTTAAACATAGAGATAAATGTATTTACTTTTGCACGTTCTTGAACCATGCCGCTTTGATGACTAAAGATAGCGTGATAGTTGAGAATTAAATTAAAACGTATTTGGTAGTCCTAATATGCACTAGACTTACTTTTTTAGAGTTAATATTTTTGATATTAAGAGTTATGGGGAAATTGTGAGACCGTTGACCGATTTACTCGAAAATAATAGTCTAAAGATAATTTAGAATCAGAATAGGTCCACCAGTCTAAGGGACAAGTTTAATACCCTCTTTTTGTTTACACTTTTGAAAAATACCTTTTTCTTCATTTTTATTTTTAAATATTTAAAACCAAACTTAATAACGATTAATAATATCTATATTTCAAATATCAAATCAATTTATTTGTAATAATTAAATATTTAAGTTTTACAAAGTCTTAATATAACTAAAAATTCCAAAAAATTATTATCTTAAATATTCTTTTAAAACAATAATGAATAACAACATTCTACCGATGTTAATTTATCATTTTTGTTAAGTCATGTGTTATTGTTATAGTGCAGATTTTGATGATTCATTATTATTAAAAACACATAATATCGTTTACTTTGCAAAAAAAATCAAAGAGAATTATTGAATAAGAGCAAAGTTTGGTGATATGTTGAGCTGGAAAATGTGCTTGGAATGTTGGAAATTATTTTAATATAACATATATTAAGGGATAGACTTTATAATATTTTTAGATATTATCTTGTTGAATTTTTTTATATATAAAACTAATAAAGCAGCTTTGTGTTAAAAGTATATATATATATATATATATATAATTAATATTATTTCAAATTTAGTTAATTTTTTTTCTCTAAATTCGAGTTTAGTTTTGATTTACTAAAATATAGCTTTAAATTTAAATTAATAAAATTTTCATTTTACATATAAAAGATTTTAGTTTTCATTAAAAATAGAAAAAGAGTAATTTTCAAAGCATAACTCAAAAACATGGTAGTTTTCAAAATGACCCTTATTTTTTCCTTGAAAAAAATAAAAATAAGTATTTTTTTCTCCTATAAATTCTTTTAATTTAGATTTTTAAGCTTTATTTCTACATAATATAATTCTTCATAGTTTTATTTTTACATAAAATTGTTGATGTTTAAGAAATATCTAATAGTCGTTATTCTCCCCATGATTTTTAATGGCTAGTCAATATTCAACGATAGTATATATTTATTTATCAAAATGCTATCCATGATAAACCGCAAATATATATCCAAAAATGCATATATGCAATCGCAAAATGTCTAAAAACTGAAAATGCAAAAATGTGTGTTACGCGATTGGGGCCAATATATTGTTTTCTCGAAGGTATCCACCATTTTTCTCTTGTCGCATGGTTAGTATATATATCTACCATTGATAAAGCTATACTTCAACAGTATATGATATCTTTGCAAAAGATTCATATTTTTACATGGTTGTTTACCAAAAATATATATTCATAGATATATACTTGGCACTAGCATATGGCAAAGTACAACATAAATATACTGGAATTTTTATTATTATTTTATGTGGATTATTTAGCGGAACAATAGAAGAAATGGTAACAAAAGATTTGTTGTACATCTAATTTGCTCTCGTTTTCAGGATTTAAATTTTACCCCCTACTTTTTCATAATTTTTGGTTATTCTTCATTATTCATATTTCTTTTTTTTTTCTTTGTTGATTTTCTTAAGTTTTTTTTAATAACTTTTAATGTCTTGAATTATTTTCGTATCGACCTACAGAAAAAATAAAATTACATATGTAAACAACATTCTCCAGAAATGGCTCTTTTGAGCTCTAATTAATTTCGGCTGACAAAAAAAAAAAATGGTCCATATATTAGAAAAGTTGATATATGTATTGTGTGTTTAACAAGTCATCATTTTATAATCAAGGCTAAGATTCAAGATTTAATGTCCTAAACTATATATGACGTTCTTATTCTATTTTTTGAGATTTAAAAATTAGCTTTTGTTGAAGTGTTTAGTTTAGAAATCTTGCTCGACTCACAATGACATTTCTGTATTATGAATCAAAGTCTCATGTGACCATTATGTCTTCGTGCTTTTTTATTATTCTTTTGTTCTTCTATAAGTTTCTTCGAACTTATTTGGGGGTGGAAAAACAAATTTGTGTTTACTTAAAAACAGAAATCTGAATTTAAGAATTTTTTTTTTAGTATCCTTTTGAGTTTATTCAAAAGTAGTGATTATTAAATTACATGAATATCAGTCAATACTTAAATTAAATTTGGAAATTTTGACCCATTTTTTGAGAATTATGTCATATTTGACTAATCTTTAATTATAAGAAATTAGTCAAATATGTAATCAAATAAATTTTTAGCTACAATTTATTATTTTATATTTTGACTACTTATTATATTTAAAATAAAATGTATGAGTCAACTTTGTATCATGAATACATAAATAATTGTTTCAGGAAAGAAATTTATTTATTCTTAATATTGAAATATGTTTTTGAGAAAGCTAGCAATTTCAAAATTTTATATATATTTAGGATACAAGTTTGACTCTTATAGTTTTATTCCCAAAACAATATAATAAGTAGTCAAAAGAAAAATAAGTAGTCAAAACTAAAGTTGATATTTCTTGTACCTAAAAATTTTTGAGACTAAATCTCAGCCAAATATGATATAAATTTTTAGTCAGTTTACAACAGTCAAACTTCCAAACATTAGTGTAATAAGTATTGACCAATTTTCATGAAATTTAATATTTACTACCATTTTTTATCTATATATACCCAGTAAAAGAAGTTTAAAAATAAATTCATCTTTTTTTACCTCCAAAATGAGTCCGAAGAAAACCAAAGGAAGAAAAAAAATTAACTTGAAAAAAAAAGTTGAGAAATACCAAGACCGAATGGTAACATACTCGAGACGCCAAAAAGGGACCAACACTAAGCTCAGCGAGCTTTCCCTTCTATGTGGCGCTGATGTCGGGTTTCTTGTAATTTCCTGCACCGGGAAACCGTACACATTCGGCAACCCTTCCTTTGAAGCTGTTGCGAAACGGTTTCTCAATGGTGAGGGATCCTCATTGTTACAACAAGATGCTCAGCATAAAATGAAGATGGAAGAACTCTACAAAGTCTACAACAGTCTTGTAGAGAAGATTGCTGCAGAGGAAAAGAAATTAATGATGGCGAAGGCGGAGGCATTACCGTTCGAGAGCAACGCATGGTGGAAAATTGATCCGGCAAAGGTAAAAGAAGAGAAAGTCGCAAAGCAGTTGCTTGAGAAGTATGAAGAGCTTTATGAGAAACTGCATAAGGAGATTGCTGCAAGGAACCATGGAGGAGGTGTACCGTAGATTTGAATTGTGGATCATTTGTTCCATTCGTGATCCCTAAAAGTTATGTATTTTTAAAGAATAATTACCACATTGGTGAAATCCACCGGAATAAAAGAAATTATGTTTTTATATATATAAACTATGAATATTTAATGTGTTTTTAGACCTTTTATTCCTAAAACAATCAGTTGCATGGAAGAGTTCATTAGTAACAATGTCTTCAATTTTCTGAATACCAGATTTGTTGATGTGTTTCGTTAAAAATTCTATTTAAAAGTCCAACGAAACCTCAAGAAACAATGTCACCAAAGAGGTAGTGGCTTAGTGGTAAAAGATGGTTAGTTTCCTTGTGCACCAGTTCAAACTCTCCTTAGCACGGAGGCATATTTTGAAAATCGAAATATTCAAAAACTAATGTATATTAATGAGCTAAAGGTATATATAGGCACTTGACTTCATAGACATGTTCTATACGATTTTCTTCAAGCAAATTCTCGTCTCGTGTAGTCACAATGACTCTACTCCCTGCACCAAACCATGTGGCGACCTTCTTGACATCCTCTAACTGTTTATTATCATCCATACCATTACCAATGACAGAACTTTACGGAACTAACACGTTAGTAAATTTTGATTGAAGCAAACGCTTTAAAACCAAAGCTGGGTCTTTGTAGTAATCATAATCGTCATCCATTTCGACATATGGAGAAGACATACATCAAACCGGGGAGATATCTCTTATACACAAATGACGCAAGTGTTTTTTTGCCAAGTCATTTCTCAACCCAAATGCCAATTTCGCGTGCTTTATAGTGTTTAGAATCCAAACTCAAGAATTCATAAATGGGTTGCTAAACTATTGTTTTTCTTTTTTGTGGTTTTCATAACTTTCTTTAAAAAAGATTCACCTGCATTGAGATTAAATTATTTTCGTTAGTTCAAAGATTACGATTAAATCACTCCATATCTCAAAATATTTTATATTTAAACGTTTTTCTAAATTAAATTTGATTTTTATTTATTATTTTATGCTTATACATTAATGATTTTTAACATAATTAAATGAATTTTATATGCATTAATAGTTGGACACATGTTAATCTTTTATTTGCTCTCAAATATGAAGTGTAAAAGAGATCTCCCTTCATCTTTTATACTAGGTCCGGACCCGCACATACGTGCGGGCTTTTATATTTTAAAATATGCGGGTTGAATATTTGTTGTATAACATATAGTAAAAACGGGTTTAACATATAGTGTTGTATAACGTATGTACGGGTTTTTTTGTTTGATTGGCTAAAAAGATTGGAAAGAATAATTAGTAAGAATTATATAATTTTGATTGGTGAATGATTGGATATCTTGGTTTGGTTTTGTTGAATTATTGAGAAAGTTGCAAAATTGGTTGTAATATTTGTGAAACCAAATTATTATTTTGATTTATATTGTATATTTTTATTTCTTAAACTATAAAATGATTTGTTTGGTGAAATAAAATTATTGTGTTGCATAAGAGATGTTGTAAATAAATATGTGTTTTTGTTGTATGTAAATATGTGAATTTTATATAAAAAAAAACATTTTGGTATCAGATAATAAAATAGATAGAGTAATTTTTGAAATATAAATGTTTTTTCAATTTTCCAATGTTTAAAATAAATTTCCTAAAGGAATTTGTTTTGTGTTAAATTGGTTTTAAATTTTGAATTTATGTATAAATATTTTATGTAATTTGTGTTTGTAATTTGATATATCTATAATTAAGTTTTATGTTTGGGCCACATAAAAATCTATTGGCCCATTTTCGATTCCGTTAATACATCTGTGATCCAATAAAAAGCTATAGACCTGTCAATTGGGCCTAAATATTTCGCTGATCCATTTGATATATCGCTGTTTTTTTTTTTTTTTTTTTTTTTTGGACAAATAATTCTCAACCCAACAATCATTGTCGGTGAGATGAAAAGAGATGAAACAACAAACCCAGAAAAATTTCATGCTAATCTTCGATCTGAAAATAGAAAACGTAATACTGCTTAGATCGAGCTTTATCGTTGCTTTTATCAAGTTTCTACCACTGATTCCGAATTATAGAAACAGGTAAGCTTTTGATTGATTCAATTTTAGAGAACTTTTTATTTTTTCCAATTCGTCGATTTGATTTCCAGTTTGTGCAATTCTCTGTTTGAATAGATTCATTGGGAGATGACTGTGAAGAACCCAAGCTTCTGAGTAAGTTTAAAACCCAATAAATTTTACAAAGTAATTTTACTGTATTTTTGGAATTTAACAAAGTAATTAAATCTATCTACATAAATCTTCAGAGCCATGATTGTAAAGATTTCAAAATTGGTTTGTATATAGATTTGAACAATCGATTTTGTTTCCTGAAATATATTAACATCATGTCGTTCTTAAATTGATTTCAGATAATAACATAGATGATGATGTTGCCAAAAGAAGATGATTTAGAAAGATAAGTTGTTCATACGATTATTACTATTGCATAGGATCAAGATATGTGTAATGACATAGATTAGAAAGATTATATTTCATAAGTAATAATATGATGAGAATCATATATTTAAAAGCTAACTATTGTTACTATATGCGCAGATTAAGGAAAGAAATCATGCAATCAAGATTGACTGATGATTTAGGATCTTAAACCAATTACATAAGGTATATTCTCGAAACATTATGATACGAAAATTTATATCAATGGCAATGCTAACTAATTATATACAATATATAATAGTTAGATATATAGCTTAGCTTAACATTTATGATTACAATATAGTTGTTAGAAAACAACTCTTAAATTTAGGTTGGCTGCTACTAAAACTTAATATGGAAATAGAGTAAAATAGAGATTAAATGCAAAAGAAACAAATAGAGTAGACATTAGTTCAAGTCGATTACAAAAGGAGTTTTTCATACCAAAAGGAAATTTTTAAAAAGACAGAGTTAATCTCTGTAGAACAGAGTTCATCCCCTCTGAAAATTTAAAAAAAAAAACAACATAAACTAAGAGAAACTGAAGTAACCTTGCAAATCCAATCACTCCTTCCTTCACATGTTAGTTCTCATCAACCATCTCCATCATCACATCCTCTTCGTCACTTGATCCATCGTCGAATGATCGCCTGCAAAAAAACATATGCTTTATGTTTACCTAGGCTATGAATCTCAACCAAAATATAAGCCAATTATAAGAGAATTTTCAACTTACAGATAACTTGGAATGTCAAGTTCATAAAAGATTGGATCAATGTATAGACGTGAACAGCCATATTCACTCATTAAAACATTGTTTCCTATAGGAAAAAAAAAAGATTCAGTCAATGTAACTAATAAAATTGTAAAGTCAGTTCATAAAACTATAATAAGAACCAACCACAGTAAGAAGTTATTCTCCAGAAACGCAATACTGCAACAATCTTATCATAGTTGTAGTTTATTCCGCTTATTTTCTGAGACCAAGTGTTCACAAAGAACTCACACCACTTTCCCACAGCTACGCATTTTATTGTCTCCCCCCTAGATTAAAAGTTTAATTTCCAAACAAAAAGAACAGTCAATCCAATTTCTTAAAGTAATTTAAGAACAACCATTGAAATTCTGTCATAGAGGGTAAACTAAACTTACACATTATTTTTAATTTTGAAGCAGACATAGCGAGATTCATAGTCTGTTTCTCCTCTGCGACACACATATGGAAACCTTCCTATGGTGGAAACAGCAGAGATAACTCCCATAGCATCTAAGTAAAAATTAAAGGAAAATGGTCATATAAGTCTTCATATATAATAAATCTTGGTATAAAACATTTAATTTCACAAATTATTACCAAAGACAGAGTTTTTATCATCTTCATGAGCATTTCTGACAGTATCAGGCCAAACAAAGTTCCAGTAATTGTTCCAAGACTTAGATCTAACAGGCCACATGGTAGTTCCACTCAAAAACTTAACCTGAAGTGGCATAGTTGAATATCTGACTTGGTTTTTAGGTATGATGACTTGAAAGTCAGTCATGTAGTACCAAACGTCTTGTTTGAGTCCTCGCTGAAAGTTCCAGAGGTAGTAACCTTGTGGAATTGTTGCGTCCATTAAATTCCCCTATACAAAGGAAACAAACAAATTAGATAAGTAGTTTTTCAACCCTAGAACATGATTATGATTTTAAAAAGGTGTAAAACAGAACAATAGAATTAGAAACAAACCTTCTCATCTGCGAGAATCATTGTAGTTAGATCACCATTGAAAGGAGGATTATGATGCCAGATACTCATTATCTTAACACAAACCCTCCACTTTGTGGAATGTCTTCGCAAATCGGAGAGAAGGTGCATTTTCTCCATAGTTTCTAAAAGATTTTGTTTTGCTTTCAACTGGGAAGATATCTCTGTAAATCTAAAATCTCTCAACGCATATATATAGATATAGATATATTGGTTAAGAGACGCAAAGGATTAAAATAAAAAGAAAAGGAAACTGAATCGTTAATAGAATATATAAAATATAAAAATTTGAAAAGACTGATGCAAATCATTGCTAATTATTACAAAAGGATACAGTTTACATTTTTCAAGATACACCCAACGATTTAGATTTGCCTAGATTGTATAAACCGTCAAATATGGAAGTTTCTTTAGGTTTTGTTATTCATGATAGATTTTTTATATAATAGATTATATATAAGTAAAATATATAAGTAAATATGTACTTAAATAATAGTATCGATTTTTTGTAACAGGATCTAGATTTGCCTAGATTGTATAAACCGTCAAATATGGAAGTTTCTTTAGTTTTTGTTATTCATGATAGATTTTTTATATAATAGATTATATATAAGTAAAATCTATAAGTAAATATGTACTTAAATAATAGTATCGATTTTTTGTAACAGGATCTAGTTTTTGCTATTTGTTAGTTACAATTATAATGGTACTGATGCTAGATAATTCTATGTTTACAGACCAGGCAACATCTTTAAAGAAGGCAAATGTGAAAGCAATGATAAAGCCAGTCCAGCTTCTGAAAGCACTGATAAAGGTTAGTGAAGTCTAAATGATTCAAGAAGTATTTAGATCCAGAATTAAATATGAAGTTGTCGTGATGTGTTAATTGTTTTTCGAAAATGATTTTACTATATTCTCTGTTGACATGTATGTTAAATTCTGCAATTGGTTGATAAGATATTAAAGTAATACTACTTGTTTATATGAATTAACAGAATATTTAGATTCTGTATATGTTTTTTGAATTAGTAAACTTTTAATAGTTTACCTTTTTGTACTTAATATGATTTAAATGTAAATGAAAAATTATTTAAAACAAAGTTATGCTGATATTAATAATCAAAATTTCTGAATCTATATTATTAAAAGAGAATTGAGAGAATAACAGACCAAGTTTGGTAAAATAATCTCTTCAATGGAAGTCGTAGATTGAAGAGATTACTACCAAATTTCCATTTCCATACCAGCTTCTACCTGTTTAGACAACCAATAAGAAATTAGTAAAGTGTAACAGGTGAAAATAATAATCAGTTTTTATTGATTGTTACCTCTTAAACCAAATGTCTTTTGCAATGTGTAACCTTATAGGTTCTGAAAGACTTCCTTAAACACCACATTCAACGTTTCCTTGTGCGGCTTTCCTTCTTTGTCCACTATGAGTATCTTCAGTCCTTTTTTTGAAGTTACCCTTGAGATAGCTACATAGAGTTGGCCATGAGAAAAGCATGGCCTTGGTAGATAGATGCCAACCTTATTCAACGATTGTCCCTGGCTTTTATTAATGGTCATAGCAAAAGCAACTGCTATTGGAAGTTGTCTTCGACGCATTTTAAACGGAAGTTTAGTATCAGATGGAGATATCAATATCCTGGGAAGGAGGACTTTATCTCCGACTCTATCACCTGTAATAATGACAGCCTCAATGACTTTATCACCCATTTGTGTTATTTGCAGTCTAGTGCCATTCATTAGGCCTCCTCTTGGATCTAAATTTCGTAGTAACATCACAGGACAACCAACTTTCAACCTTATACCATGATTTGGCAATCCAGATATCTTTAGACCGTTCAAAAACTCTGATGTCAACACGGGATTATTTGTACCTCCAATATCAGAAGGATCAACAGAATCTGAACTTAGGTATAGTTGTTCATCACCTACAAATAATTTAAAATGTCTTTATAATACATCATATCTCAATGAAATGCCTAAAATATTAAGAGTAGTGGAGACTAACCTTCGAGTTGATCAAGCATATAATCGTTGACAATACCCACATCTTCATTGGTAGGACATAAAATAGCCCTTTGTTGGAAAAATACAGGATCGGTTTCATCCTTCAATAACTTAGGATCTCCATAAACTTCCCTGCTTATTGCCTCAATTGGATTATCAGCGTTTGTGATCAAAAACTCTTTTGGAATTTCTATCATCACTTCTCCATCATTAGGCTGTGCTATCTTACCATCACCAACTGCTAGAATCCACTCTGAAAATTCTTTTATATCCTTAGCCTCAATTGGACTCAAATCCTTTGAAAGTAGCCTCATATTTTTCGTGAGTTTCAGAACTTTGCAATGATTCCAAAGATAAGAAGCATTAAGTGCAGCCATACAAATTTCTGCTCTCGAAGCACCATGTATCACAGGTAGTACTTGTCTGAAATCTCCACCAAAAACAACTACTTTGCCACCAAACGGTTTGTTTCCACCACCTTTAATAATGTCTTTGAAACTCCTATCCATAGATTCAAAACAATGCTTACTCATCATTGGAGCTTCATCCCAAATTATCAAAGACGCTTCTTCTATTAATTCTGCCTGATTTGAACCTTTCTCAATATTACATACAGTGAAGTCGTCTGGATTTATTGGAATACCAAACCGAGAGTGCGCTGTTCTCCCACCAGGTAACAATAGAGAAGCAATGCCGCTGGAAGCCACATTTAGCACAATAGAACCTCTAGATCTTACAGAAGCTGAGAGTGTCGTATATATAAAAGTTTTACCAGTTCCACCAAAGCCATAGACAAAGAAGACACCTCCCTTGTCATTATCAACAGCATCGATGATCTCTAAATAAACACTCTTCTGCTCATCTGTCATTTTCTGCAACGATTCTTCAAGTTTTTCCTTCTGTTCATTGCGATCGTAGCTTTTTTCATCAAGTATCAACACATTACTATCATCAATTTCCTCATCAGGTAACTGTGGCATTGTTCTGAAAGCTGTTAGAGATGTTGCATTGCTTCGTAAGATGCTGTTGATTTCTTTTAAAGCCAACATCTGTTTTTGCTCGTCCGTAAGTGTTAGTTCTGTGTCCCAAAAATATGTAAAAAAACAGTGTTATTTGTAAGACAGAATAATCATGACAAAAACTACTTAAAATTGCAAAGTAACAACTCTTTAAACCAACCAAAGAGACTAAATTATTTGATCAAAAATTACCTGGTCTTTTAAAGTACTCTCTCCTTTTTCTTTCGATGTCTTCTGATAGAAGTTCCCATGTTTTTTCCCAAACAACTTCTGGTTGAGATAAGCTGGTAGACTGGAGCATTACAACAAACATACAACGCAAGTAGTTTCCAGTAGCCCAAAAACTGGTTGTCTTTATTGTATCAATATACTCCTGGTCATCGTCAAGCAAACCCAGAGCATAACATGCCTCCTTGAACGATTTGTACACCACGCCATTCACTGTTTTGATGTCTTCGAAACTTTCAGGTCCAGTTTGATGATTTAGAAGCACTCTTAAATAATAACCTTCCTCATAAATAAGTGGGACATAATTAATCCTTCCGATTGTTTTCCCTGGTCGCTTCCTCATATTGAAAGTTCTTGTTTTACCATCCCAAGTATAATATTCCGGAATCTGAGTATATGTTAGATCTTTGGCTTTAGGACACCGCTTGTTCAATTCAAACCAAGCAAGAAACATCGAATTCTGTAATTCTGATTTTTTCAAAACTGTTTTCACCTCATCATCACCTTTAAAATATAATAGTTGTTTGCCTGGTAGATGGAAGGATAATCTTTGAACAGACGTTGACCTATAATGTATAGGATTTTTCAAGATTCTCCATCCAGCTTCACATGCTGATACATATCTGATACAATATCATAAAACATGTATTAGTTAGAAATGAGTTAAGCATCTAAACTATTTACCTAAATCCAAGTAGATTTTATACCTGCAATTAAAGAAGTCTTGTATTTCATTTTTACTTGTGCCCCCACTGTTTGAACTATCAGACTTCTCTGTAGTAGTTGTAGTCTTTGTAGACTTTTCATTAGGCTCAACAACTACTGAAACTCTGTCCATCCCTTTAGTGATATACTTGAATAAATACTTGATAGAACCAGTTTGGTTACACCACTCAACATTAATATGAGCTCTGTAGCGAAGCAGCAACTTCTTGTTATAGGGTATAACATATCCGTTGTCACACCTAAATCCACACTTCTCCACAAACAGCTTTGTCTTTCTTCTCCTGTACAAAGGGAAACCTTCTTTATCAACTTTAGTATGTTCTCTAAGTTTTTTTGGGAAAAACTTAGAACATTTCCCTTCAAGCATACATGGTGAATTCTGGTTGACGACGCCACATGGTCCATGAATCATCATGTCTTTTACGACCTCATAAAGTTCTGGTTCTTTATTCTTGTCAGGAATTTCCGCAGAAATGATTTTATCAATGTCTTCTGGTTTTGGAAACTTAGAACTTGGATGCATCCATATCAATATATGTGCATGAGGAAGACCTCTTTTCTGGAACTCAATTGTATACATTGCTGCGAGAACAACATGAGATAATAATATTAGTTAAAAGACATTTAAAAAAATAGCAGAAACAGATAATTAAATTGTAGATTGTTAACGCAACTATTAAAATAAATAACTTACATGAAACAGTCTTCCCCAATATATGTTTTTTCGTTAAATCATCCATTAGAGAATTCAGCTTCATTTTGAACATTCTGCTTATGATCTCTGGCCTATCATCGGAATTACAATTTCTCTCAGTACAGAATCTTACCAGCTCAGGCCATTTTGGATTGCATGTGAACGTAATGAATAGGTCAGGAAATCCATAATGATTACATGTAGACATTGCATCCATGTACATGTTCTTCATGTATCTTGGCCCACCAACAAAAGTAGCTGGTAGATAAAATGCTTTTCCTTCTTCATTCATATCTGTCTTTCCTGCTGTTGCCGCCTCTTTAACTGAATCATAGTTAGTAGCTCGTAAACTTGACTGATTCAGTTTAATATATTTGAGCCTATTAGCTTCAATGGTGGTATAAGCATCAACCAAGAACTGCTGGTACAACCGTTTTGACCTTAGCAGGATACTTTGTTCATTCTTTCTCTCTTGTATACGATACGCATACCATTGACGCAAACTTATGCAATCATTCTCCTCAGTTCCTTCGGGCTTCTTTTTCTTTTTACCATGGTTATTCCCTTTCTGAATACCTGTCCTATAACCATCTTCACCCTTTGGAAACAACAAAGGGTATTGTAGAGCAAGATAACATGGTTCTATTTCACTAATTCTTTGTAAATACCCAGATTTTTCTTCAATAATAATGTCACGACTTGGCATACCAATGTGAAAATCACCTGGAATCAGCGCTGCGACCTCTGAAGCTGTTGGCACTGCATATGTTCTTCCATCTTTGACACGGTCACTCACTATTTTCATGTGAAAGCTCTGTTCAGGATTGGTATTAAACCTATCACGAGCTTGTCTAAAATGAGCAACGTATGGATTAACTTCATTTAGCAGCTTTAGTATCGCCTCAATTATTTCTTTTCTCAACTCTGGCTTCTTCTTATATTTCCCAGCAGATTTTCCTTTGCTGAAATATTAATTTAGTTAGCAACGACACTAATACTTACAGAAAAAAAACACAAAGTCTGGATACTGTAATTGCTTGTTTTGAGTTATAGAATGTACCTTAAAATTCCTGCTCTGTTTTCAACTTCATTCTCTGTGTCAACTATATATAGCTGACTAAACTTAGGAAATTCACCTTCTCCAGGTTTCAAACTTCCCATCTGGTGGTAATTCTCTCCTTGTATCTGAAACATATTAGGACCCCTTCCCGCTGTAACAGAATTATCACACTTACCCCCAAGAGAAGTAAATGAAAAAATCATGTTATATGCTCGGATGTTCTCTCTAAAGTGTCTACTCATGTCATCATCATTGGTTAGCAAAGCAAATAACAGTTCTGGTTGATTATGGAGGAAAGGCAGTTTCACAGATCCTTGCAGACAACATTGAGTAAAAATTGGTTTACGAACTTTCTTATGTCTGTTGATGCGTTCGCCATACCACATAATAGCACCGCAGTAGGAACATGAGTAGACAGGATCTCCATGATCTAGATACTCTACAATAACAGAAAGACAGTTTAGCATAAGTAAAGTTTGTGTAAGAAAAGAATTAGAAATAAACCAATGATTTAGTACCTGTGTTTTTGTTCTTTCTGCTAGAAACATTAGGAGTTTTTCTTTCTCCAAAAGCTTTGGTCAAACTTTCATCTAACATTGATAAAAACTCATATCTTTGTTTGACTTCGATTGGGATATCTTCTATGGTTTCATAATCTTCAGATGTTTCTGAATCATTTTCAGCTGGACTACTACACTCGTAAACCTGTTCACGTGTTTCCTCCAAATCACCTATCATAGTTTTTTCCCCTGATTAGTGGATGCTTTATTAAGTTTAGAAAATATATCATAATGATTTTTACTTACTCATATTAATATATGTTTCTTCCTTTGAATTCAGGATCTCATCAGAGTCTTCTTCGATTGTTGTATCATAACTCTTGTGAGATGATTTCTTCTCCTTTGCCAAAGACTTTGGGAACCTCAGATTGATTCTTGAATTGGTAAGTATAACACCCTTAGCAGCTTCATGAAATAAACATTACTCCATAAGTGTTGATCTATTAATACTTTTTATGTAATAGTTTCATATTATTGATAGGAATGTATACCTTGTTTGCTATTAACAGATGGTGGACTCCACTTTTTCCCCTTTTTTTCTGGTGGCTTATGTGGATTAAGTGGAGTTTGGTGAACCTCGCTGTGAAGCTGTGATGTATTAATAATGTTCTGCACATCTTGAAAAGGTCTTCTCTGTGTCCTTGCTGTTTTTTTGGCTGATCTTACACTCGTATTATAAGTAATTGTACATGCAAATCCTATACATTATGGTTATTTATTAGTTAGCATCATATGTAGATGCTATATTGTTGGAATATAAATGTTTACATACCTTGTGTTTCCTTTTGTATGGCTGCAGAAGAAGAAGGACCAGTTACTGTCTGTAAGGCTTCAGAATCACACTGCTGGGCTGGTATGTTACCTATTCCAGATCTCAATCGATTAAAAATCCCTTTTACTTGAACATCACCCCTATCTTGTTGGTTCTGTAGATTTGGATTTATGTTTTCATCATGTAGCTGAGACCTAGAACGCTTTGTGTTAGGTGTCTGCATTACATTGTTATTTTCTTTTACTGTTTCATTTTTTCTTCTCTTCATTCTGAAAAACAAAATAGATTTGTGAGGAAAAATAATTCCAATTATGTCATTTGTCAATGAACATGTTATATGTTGAAAGAGATTAAAAGACTGACCTTATAGATGTTTCTTTGCTAATGAGGCGAGTAGCTGTAGATTAGGATTGAAGGTGTTAAATGGTTATGTAATGATTATAAAGATATCGTCTCAGCCTGATTTAGTGTGATAGCATTAAACTGAAAAGATTACAGAATATATTTTCTTTTTCATATTCATAATAAAATCTAATTGATTGATTCTTATTTTTAACATAGAATCTTGTATATTAATAGGTTAAATATGCCAGTTTGGTCGTTAAAACAGTTGTTATACTACAACAATGAACCCTTTTAAAACTGATTTATCTATACTGCTATACTATTCCAATTAGTTAACGATTTAGAATAGGAGATAGATTTTAATAGCTTAAGATCTTTAAAATATTTGCACATATGCCCTTTAAAATATTTGTACTTATATATCTCACATATTAATTAAGTTTGCCATTTATAGTATAGATATCGTCAGATTAGTAAAGATTCATCGCAGTCTCTCAATGTTTGTGACTAATATGTGTTTAGTTTTATCTGCAGTGTTAGCTACAGTAATGGGGCTTATATATGAAAATTCATCAGTACAAAGCACAGGTTAGTATATTTTCTCTTTCTGTTTTGTGATCTTTAGTTTTAGCATAAGTTAGTTTATATTTTGCAAAGAGTTTAGTATAAGGAGAAGCTTAGAGTTTATTGCTTGAATTCAAAATAACTGAGAATTAAATAGCACATAGCTAAAGGAAAAAACTAAATAAGTTTTGAAACTTGAACAAAAGAAAAAAATAGAAAACTAATTGCTACAGCCAAGCTCCCTACATTATTCCCAGCCAGCACAACTTAATTCTTGCCACCTTCAATCTCTTCCTTCTCAATGTCACCAAGAAGGGAAGAGACACATGCCTTTTTAGTAGTAGAACCCTGACCTTCAATGTCCTCAGAAACTGCATCCATACTACGCTTAGATGAAGGAGTGGATGATGTAGGATCTAAAGGGTCAGTGGTTTCACCACTATTGGTCAGAGCAAGTCCTTCCTGTAAGTAAGAAAATCAGGATAGTCAATATATAATAGATAATCTTTCATATAACAAAGTCATTAAATTATATAGTTATAAGTATCCATAATTTATTCCCTGACTTGAGTATAACTGATGGTACTCACTATTTAATTGAAACACGATCCAGCCCTTTAGTGATAAACTTGAATAACTTTTTGATAGATTGATTTTGGTTGCACCTACTAACATTACCTGATCAATAGAGAGGTCATTACGTTGGTCAGTCTGCTGGTCAGAATCTTCAATAGTATCTAGATTGTCAGATTCATTACCCAGCCAAACAGTTGAAACCTTGTAGGTATCATCAGTTTCATTGATGTTTTCCTTTCCAACAGTCACCAGAAACTGGAAAGTCTTTCCAACCAAATCTCTGATTGGCTGAGGCAAGTTTGTAGGATCCTGAATCTGTTATGATAGATTGAAAAAAGTATATAAGATATTTGAATAATATGGTCTATATACATAATAACAACAAATTTGTTTACCTCATCCCACTTCCCTTCCAGCAAATCCTCTGCAGACACACCGATTATCTCTTGTGCACTTTTATCAAAGATAAGACATTTAGTGTCTCCAGTGCTATCCATCACTCCAACGTTTAAAAGATACCTACATATCAAAGGAACAGGAAAGTAGATTAGGTACATAGTTACTATCTGACAAATGTAGATATATATTAGCAAATCTCAAAGTCTTACCTTGGTATCACCTTAGGAGTGTCTTCCTTACATGTTGGACACCAAAACATTTCTTTCTTGCCTTTCTTGACAATCTCATTTTCAACCTTTGGAATCTTATAGGCAGTTTTGCTACACTTGAGGCAACTAAAGAAATACCAAGAATAGTCTGTGTCGATATTCATTATGGTACAAATTATGTTGCACTTTCCAGTCTATTCCAAAAAAATAGATAATTAGTAGTATAGACAGAGAATTTAATAGTTGCTAGAAAAAATAATATTATCAAATACAAATACCTCAGAAAAACAAAAGAGTCCAGATATGGTTTTCCTTGGAAAACGATCATAGTAATCCTTTTTTCTCTGTTCTGCATTCACTTGTTTTGTCTTCGAGTCTTCGATAGTCAGTGGAATAACATCAGGTGGTAAACTATTTTTAAAAAATAAAAGAAAACGAAATCAACTTTAGATATTATAAAAAGGATTCACAGTTATCTATATTTGTAAAAGAAATGTGATGTTTAAACATATCTTACTTGGCCACAAACTCAAGAACAGCAGGGTAGGTAGCATTGATTTCCAATAGAGACATATCAAATGAATTTGAAACAGCTCTTTCACCTAAAAACAGCATGATATTAGTATTTTCACATATGTTCTGATTTCATTTCGATTTCAAAATCATGAATTATTCCCAGTAACAACATTCTATACCTTTAAATGAGTTGATCTTTGCAAGCCGAAGCAAGCAAATCACTCTCTCAGTCCCTGCATTTTGACATGCATTATACATTGCCTCAGCAAATCTCCCCCAAAGAGTGCATTTAAGCCTTTCATCACTACAATACAACAAAAATATTGAGAAAGTTTTAAGTTTAGATGTATGTAAGATTATATAGAAAAGGTAGATTCATGATTAAACTTACTTTGTGTCTCTGAGTTCACACTCAAGTCTCTTTGTGATCTTGTTGTTAACATCATGAATTTTCATTTCATTGAAACTAACTACCTGTCCAAGTACATCTGCAAAATAAGAGACTAATAAATTATATTTTCATGAAGAAGTTCCTATTATAATAGAAAAAGAAAATATACAATGGAAAGTAAGATAGATATAGTACCAATTAAGATGTTTTCACTCAATCCTGCTTCATTCAAAATATCTGGAAAGTTTGCCAGATCCACATAAATGTCATCAGAAACAGCAGGAGTGCGACTTATCACAGTTTTTTCCATCATGGACATCTTGAAACCATGTTTTGTGGCTCGATACTTTCCTGTTGATTTGGTTAGCGTAAAATGCTCGATAATACGCCATTCTCCAGAAACTATGAACCTTTGCAGTTTGCTCACTTGTGGCTTCTTAACAGTAGCATGAATCAAAGTACCCTGGCAACAGATAAAAAGAACTCATGTTAATCATCCATCAATATTGATGATTGATAAATGTTTAATATGTTGAAAATGATAGTTCTTATACTTACAGCTGTATCAGCAAGAACCATTTCAACTGTTTCCCCGGTGAATTGAGTGTATTGTGTCCACGAATGCACAATCTTAACTTGAATTTTCCAATGTGTTTTGAAGGGCTTAATGTCAGCAAGAGGGGTGAATGCTTGAACAGCTGCCATTTTCTTACAGAAATAGTGAAGTGGTAATGGTAAAGCTTTGAAAGGTGAGTTCTTTCTAATGCAGGTCCCTATATTTATAGTAATCGTATGGAGCCTTTAGTTTTATTAGGTTTTAGAGAATATAGGCCGTATAATATAATTTGGGATTAGGATCTTAAAGGTATATGCTTGATTTAGGGAGATTTATTTGCATATAATTTCCGATTTACTTGTTTGGTATATCAATATCGAACTGAATATGGATATTGAAGAGATTGTGTGATTTTTAATACCAACTAATAATGGAAATACAATTAGTTAGAATTCTATATCTTTCAATATAAAGAAATACAAATAATTGAGTTTTGCATTTAAAGAGATAATTTTTAAATTGGCATTGATAGTTTGTATTGATATGGAAAGATCTTTGCGAGATTTGTGTCTAATTATTAGTCAAATTAATTTAGAGAGTAGTATAATTATCTAATAAGTTACAATACTGTATCTTTCAATATATTATAGGGAGATATGGATTAATTAGCTTTGCATTTAATTCACCGTCTACACTATATATTTTTACATTGGCATTAATAGTTTGAGTTGATATGGTAAGATTTTTGCGAGATTTGAGTGCAATTAATCAAAAAATTAATTGCTAAATTATTCCCGATTTTAGAATAAGTAAAGAATATGCTTGATTTGTTATTATATGGAATATAAATAAATGCGTTTTATTTTAGGAAGTGTAAATTATGTGATTTGTTTGTTAAGGCAAAATATAGAGTAGTATATTTGATCCGGAAAAATAGTTATGGTAATGTTTGACTTGTGTGGCTAATGTTTTTATTTGCTTATATCTACTGCAGATTCCTAAAAAATCAAAAGGAGATTCATGATGGGCCTAAACATATTGTAAGCCCAACAGTCATCTCCCAATGACATAATCGGGTCAGCCATATTTAAAAAAACAGGATCCGGCTGTAGGATCCGGGATCCGCATCCCAACAGCGGGAATATTACAATTTTACCCCTCCGCATATTTTTTTATTTTGTCATCAAAACTTTAATTGTAATGGCATTCTCTTGTAATTATTTACAGATTGTAAGGTTATTTTTCAGGTAATCCTTCCCAATTAATAGTATAGATGAAAATTTTAATTGAATAATGGTATAAGAACTAATATTTGAGTTTGGAGGATGATTTTCTTATTATCTACTCCCTCTCTTTCAAAATATAATGTTTTACTAAAAGCTCACAATTTCAAATTCGATGGCCAATTTCATTAATTAATGAAATATATAAACACTCGGAAACTATGAGTTTCCTCTGAGTGATACTTACACTTTTTACATATACGTTTCACAATATAATTAACTTGTTCAGAATATATAATTGGACATTTATCAAAAAAAAAAAAAAAAAAACAGAGACCAAAGCAAGTTTAAATCATTACTCCGTCGTTGAGTGGATTTGAACCTGGGACTTTGTCCTTTCGGTCACAGAATGTTTCTAGTAAAACTAATAGCTCCGAGTTTTTGTTTTTGATTTTTGTATGCCAAAGAAAAAGAAAAACAGTTGCTTGAGAAATTTCAAATTCTTTTCAACTTGGAAAATAATAAATATTTATATCCAACAGATAATTTAATTACATTATCCAATAATTAAAAGAAGAAGAGAAAAAATCAACTCAGGAAAATGTATTTCCCGATTAATTAATCCTCGACTTCGCACACTTTGATAAACTCAGAAAATTACGACAGCGAAGTGAGTACACGTGGATGCTAGTGATGGGTGGGTATATCAAGAAGGGTACAAAGTCAAAATAGTCAACAAATAGGTTTCTTAATAATATAGGGCTAACTCAAGTAGCAGTTGCACTGTTTCTAACTCCAAGACCATTTTCAATCTCAGCCTTTCGATCGTTACAGTTACACGTGTTCACGGATCGGACGACTGTGATCGCTGCTGGTTCAGGAGATGTCAGTGTACCTAACTTCAGCATATCAATGCTCACTTCTGGCAATTTCGCGGCTTCGAGTTCTTTTTCAACCAAATCCGACGGCGTTTTGCAGTATTTGTAAACCACGTAAAGTATCATTTGAAGTGCACCGAGAACAAACCCAATCACGTTAGGGAACTGCGAAAATTGACAGACATATAAAAAGGAGAAATTAAAGATAATTTATTAGTGCTCAAAGCATATACCTACTTTTGTTTTTATATATGAACTTTACACTTTATAGATTTATATCAACATTTATATATACTATATTAATAGTTGCATAAAAATGAATATATATATATATATATATATATATATATATATATATATATATATAAAGTTCTTTAAACTAGTCTCAAACTAGTTTTTTTTTCCCTTATATATAAAGTTCTTTAAACTAGTCTCAAACTCCTAAAACTTGGGCACAGTATTATTTGTATATGTCTATAGAGGTTACGTGCAATATACAAATCTATGTAACATGTAGATAGAACTCTTTTGTAAAAGATGTAATCTTTTAAGGTTTTTCTTTTAAAAAATACAAAAAAGGGAGTATCTTTAGTGATTAGTGGGATATTTAAATGTAAAACGACAATAATACCGAACAAAAGGGTTTTGCTTTTGTGAATCCATATCTCTCTTTATCTATGATTAGCATCATAGGCTCAGGTAAAATAGGAACAAAAGCAACCACTTCATGCAAATAATGATAATGATTATGATAATGATGATGACTTACGGCAACATAGATATCCTTAAGAGCAAGACCATAAAGAAGCCATATAACCGCACTGATGGTAAGAGTCAAGGATAAGCTAAATGGCATGTACTCCACACTTTTCGTCTTTATCACCGTTCTCTGTATTTTTAGTACAAAATTAATTAGTCAAACTCATATTTTTCATATTTAGTTTATGTAATACTAGCTAGAGACTAAAAACTTACGATAATGCTAAGCGGCGCAGCGAAAACGCAGACAGAGAATCCGACACAGATTCCTCCAATGATCTTGGCACGTGTGGTTCCTTTGGCCAAGAATTGGCAGAGCAGGAGAATCAAACAGAATCCTCCAAAGTTCATTAGCAACAACAGCTTCACCGTGAGCATCTGCACCAAAATAATCATTAAATATCACACATAAAATAAATATCATATATATATGCACATATATGTTGGTAATGAAACATACTCGAGCTTTCTTGGATGCGAAGGCAACGAAGATGGAGATGTATATTATTTCAATGAAGCAACCAAAGCTATTGATGGTGACGAGAAGGAAGACATCTTTCTTCTGAGTAGCGTAGTAGAGCCAAAGCATCGCGCTGAAGAGCGCCACCACGTAGGGAATAGATTGAAATCCTTCTGTGGTTTTCTTCTTACAAATCCTGTAGAACGTTGGCCTGCATGCACATCCATATTGAATCAATATATATGTATCTCTTAGTTTAAAATTTCTCATTTGGTTATCATATGATCATCATAGTTCTTGCTAGTTATTATTAATAACATAAGCATGTGTTGACATATATTATGAAGAAACAAGAACAGAGTGAGGTGAAGATTAAAATACTTACACGGGAGAGAGGAAAACAGCAAAGGAAATGAGGTTTCCTGGAAATTACACGATAAAAATGAAAGTAGTGTTATTAATAAGTATATTTATATACCGGTTAATTTTGATATCAAAGTCTGGATATAGGTCATGGTGAGAGATAGATGAACGTGAGAACTCATACCGAGCAAGCCGAAAACAAAGGCCCATGTGTTATGAGTGTCGAAGAGAGCCATTAATGTCGATCTTTGGTTCCGGGTTTAGGATTTTTTTCGAAGGGGGAAGAAGATTTCTTCGAAGTAAGAAAGATCTTTGTTGTAAGTGTTTTTCTGAAATCAAAAGCTAATGGCACGACCTTAATATTCAGGAGACTTCAAGTATATATAGAGGGGGAGGTCTTAAGAATGAACATGTGTGTGGGAAAGAAAATAAAGATAAATGTTTCGTGTGAGTCATAATAATTTTCAATCTTTTTAGAAAAGTAACAATATATATAATTTCTAAAAGTATTAGTCTATGTAGGTGTACTATACAGAAATAAAATGATCTTGGAAAATAATTCCAACACCAAAATAACTTTTTCATAAATAATGCATGTCGATTTCGGTTTAGGCCAATTCTTTCTTTTAAGGGCTCTATGTCTAGATTCTACCTATTTCACATATACCTATATATGTGAATACATTGCATATATTACAATATTAATTTCTATGTTCTATACTTTATATCCTCACTTGTCAAGAAAACGGGATTAAATTACGTTTCCAAGAAAATTAGACAATTAGTTCACGTGAAGTTGTACGCAAATATATTTGCCGTTTTCACTTTTAGCCACTTTTCTTTCTGAATTTACGTTTCTCAGTTTTAAGAAAAATATATTTTTGCTTACTTTTTTGCCGTTTCTTAATCATTAACATTTGTGATCTGTACGACTGTACTCTCAAGTTTAATAATTTGTAGATGTTTATTTCAATTTTCTTGAAATTACGTTTATTTCACTAAAATATATATTGAACTAATAATGTTCTGGTTTTGTCTTACTTTTTAAAGAGGAAAATAAACCGAGGGAAAGAGAAATAGACGGCTTAACTAATATTTGGATAAGATTTTTAGTTTTTAGCTCTCTTTTTTTTTTCTAATATATTTGGTTAGACTCAGATTAGATTATCTCTTAGATCAATGTAGTGAAAATTTCAGTGCTTGAATGTTAACTAAACTAAGGTATTTATTTAACAATTGGTCGATAAAGTAATTCTAGTATATCGGATGAAGTTTAAACTTCAAGATATATTTTATTTTGGCTAGATTATGGATGCGAGTTGTTTTGTTATATAGGCTCGCTCCAACATGAAATAGACAAAAATTAGTCATGGATGCACACAAGTAAGTGAAGGTTAGGACCTCAAATATGATTTGTTATTATTAGGGAATACAAATACTTTTTCAAAAAATTAGTTCAGTTGGCAAGTGTGCTATTAAATTAAAGAAGATGAGGGCTTTCGAACTCACCCACAATTTCTTTTCCCTGGAAATTTACTACTATCAATGGCTAAATTTATTTTATTTGGAACCATTACATTTTCAAATACGATTTTGATAGTAGGTTGAACCGTCTTTCGTAGTTTTATGTGTTACGTATTAAATTGTCTATACAAAAATAGTTAAATTTACTCGTTTTCAAGAGTAGATCAATGTTTATAATTAATATGATAATGAAGTAGGTGAAAATAAATAAAGTGATTGATTTTAATTAAACAATAAATTGGAAGAGCCAAACTCCAATAATTCATATTCCCTCCGTATTTGAATAAATGTCGTTCTAGCATTTTTTCTGTATTTTTAATTAGTTGTCATTTTAACAACTTTTGCATAAAATTTCCTAAATTATCCCCAATTAATTGATCATAATTAATCAGTCTAAATTACCAAAACTACATATACCAAAAATATAATTGTAAATAATCGTTTCTCATAAGGTTAGTTTTGTAATTCTGTGCCCTTTCTTAATTCACCCAAAAACAGTTGAAACGATATTTTTTCAAATACAGAGGGAGTAACTAATAGGACAAAATAACAATAGCATGAACTGCATTTGTAAAACTTTCATCTAGCACGGACTTTTATGGTTATTTGAACGCACCAGTTTAGGTTAATTAGTAACTTATTATGCTGTTTCACATGATTTTCATTTTTGAAAGAGTTCATTATTTTGGGTAGGATCTTATTTATAGTAAAAGTTATAAATGAAAAAGACATCGATCCAAATATATTTTTTCAAGTATATATATATAATGGCGAGATTGTTCACCATTTAGATAAATCTGTACTTATTTGGACAATGGACTAACCGTTTTTTTGGATACTCATAGTGAGGATTATATCTAAAATTAATATAATTAATTCAATATAAGTAATAATCAAGAGAAATGATAAGTAGAGATACATGGATGTTAATTAACTAAGTGTGAATAAAGATGTTTTGTGGGAAAAGAAGAAGAAGATATGTGGTTAAAAATATATATATCTTTTTTTAATAATATAATTCTTCATACTTAGTTAATTAACCACGAAAATAATAAAGAAATTTATATTTACACATGTTTAGATATGAAGATCTCCTATGATTACAGTTTTGAAGATATCATCTATTTTTAACCACATATCTACTTCTTCTTCTTCTTCTTTTTTTCCTATTTAATTGTAAAACACCACATGATAAATACTTAACCTTTTCTTTTAGTGTTAAAGTATCGTTAGTATGTTGCGATTAAAACTATTTGTATGTAAAGTTCAGAGCCGACTTGCTCTGATACCAAATAAAGTTCAGTGCCGACTTGCTCTGATACCAAATCAAGTTGAGATCTTCTTACCTTGACTTCTCTGATGCCCAATTCAAATCAGGATCACCTTACCCTGACTTAGTCGCTGACTGATTCAGAAAGTAGTTCAGCAACACAAGAACAAGAGATTAAAGAACAACCTTTCTTTATTGATTTAGAAACTTCACAAAACTAAATCTCTCTTAGGTCTTTTGGAACAACTCTCCAAAGCCTTATCTCTTGGGTCTTATGGAACAACTCTCCATAAGCCTCTTCTTCTCTCTTTAGGTCTTATGGAACTACTCTCCATAAACCTCTTCTTCTCTCTTTAGGTCTTATGGAACAACTCTCCATAAACCTCATCTTCTCTCTTTAGGATTTGAGGTCCTTGATCTTCACTTTGGGTTTCTTCCCCAACACGTTCTTCATACTCTAGTAACCTCCCAACAATATCTTCAAACCCTATCTGCTTTAGGTCAAGAACTTGCTCCAGGGATGCTACAATATGAATGAACTTGGTTCGTGGTTGTGGATTCTCGCCTGCCATACTTGCTTACGAGTCACGTACCACTGGTCTTGTCTAGAGTCTTCAAACTAAGCTCTGACACACCACAAATCTTGTCCAGAGTCTTCAAACTAAGTTCTGAACTTGTACAGAGTCTTCAAACTAAGCTCTGCCATACCACAGGTCTCGTCCAGAGTCTTCAAACCAGAAGCTCTGATACCAAATAAAGTTCAGAGCCGACTTGCTCTGATACCAAATAAAGAATCAAAAACTCAAAGTTTGTATAAAGAATCCTTCCTTTATTAATGTTTAGAAAATCTTCTCAAAACTAAACACAAGCTTTCTCTTCGCTCTCTTATGATCATACATCCTTCTTATGATCTCTAATTATATAGTTATGAATTTCCTATTCTAATTTCCTTTTTAGATTAGGATTACAACTTTTTCCTTTTCCTAATTAGATTCCTATTTCCTTTAAGAATATCTTCTAGAATCTTCATGAAGCTTACCCAACAGTATGTCTATGTTAACTAGCTGCAGTGACCAATGAAACCCAAGCTTGGAACTGTTTTTATGTTTTGCTCCTCCAAATAATCAGTTGAGCTAGAATTTGGATGCAATCACCACACATGTCGCCAGAAACACTCGAAATCATGAATCGTCTCTAATACAAACGAAGCTTCATTTGATCTTGTTTATGAATTTACCGTTATATGTCTTCCACCTCCAATATTTTATCTAATATAAAAATGTCGAACATGCGGCTTGAGATAAGCCCAAACAAAACCAATAGATATCATTGGATCTTGTTGTTGGTAAAACTCGTATGTTGTTAATTAGGGGTTTTGTCTTTCTTCTTATTGCAATAATGGTTTGGGAGTGAGACTAATCCTATATAAAAAAGAAATAATTAAAGAAGGTGAGAAGAGTAAGTTCAGAAGCTCATGAAATTTTTTTTTTTTTTTTTTTTTTTGATAAAGGGTTTTCAAATTAAAGCATAAGAAGAGAGATTGTACACAAGCCATATTGGACTCAATAGTTAGTAGTAAAACTTGTACAAACCACAATTAGCATTGCACTAAAAGAAATAAACATAATTAAGAGGGATTAACCCGGGTTGAACAAAGCGTTTTCTCCTCCAAATTGATCAAGGTATTCTCTTTAATTTGACCTTAGATTGATTTAAAGCATTTATTTATTAGCATAATTATATATATGTGATATGTTTACGTAATTACTTGTTGTTATAAAAAGGTTTACATAATGGCTTTTTGTGATTTGATCGTTTTGTCGAAATAGTTTTGTCGAAAATTCGTCGGAAACAATAAGTTCTAACTTCCAACAAATTTCCGACATAATGGATTCGTTGGTATACTCTAATCGGAAAACGAGTTTCGCCGGAAATTTGATTTCATGAGACGACGACCGGCTACTCGTTAGTTTTTTTTTTTTTTTTTTTTTGATAAACGACCACTTGTTAGTTACATAACATTCGATATAGTTTTAGAATCCACTTCCTTTTTTTTTTACTGTTAAAGATTTAAAACCTATACACAAATATCTAATCGATGAGATCAACTATCGTCGTGAAGACAGAAAACAATGATTTTCCCGGATCCCAGTCCTAATTAATTTGCAATTAATAAATTGATCATACAATCTTTCTGGCCACTACAAGCTTTTCTAAACAATTATTGACAATAGTTTCTCATGAATGCGCCTAAGTATGTTTCCCTTTATATAGAGCATACATTTATCACTGATAATAAAGAAAGAACTCGAAATATATCATATTTGGATACACCCAGACGAAAATGAAAGGTTGTACGTTACAAATATATACATATATCACTTCAAAGCCTATTGAAAATGAAATGATTATCTATACACGTGGTGTAATCAATCTTGCTACGTAGGCTGAAGAATTCGAATGGCAGAAGATAATCGTAGAAAGAGATTAAGATAAAATAAATAGTGAAGAAAATAGAAAAATAAGAGGTGAGCAAACAACAAAGCAAAGACGAACTAAAATGTGGGTCTTGTTCTTCTAATGTACCAAGTTGCTCTCATTCTTTTCTATATCCAATCATCTTCTCTCTATGATTTTTTCTTCCTTTCTCATTTGTTTTTTGGTTAAAGGTTTTTTTCTTCTTCTGTTTCTTCTTTTATCTTTCCTTTTCTCCCTAATATAAATGTGATAAAATATATATATCAACTTGCGTTCTGGAAGATTGATATATATATGTGTGTATATATATACATAACCAATATTCCTATATTAATTAAGTTTGATTGTTCGATAGGTAAAATATATTGCATTTACGTACGTTCATATATACTATTCTGTTTAATAAAATATAAATATTCTTATAGACTTTAAAGACAAAATGTGCAAATGAAAAAAGTTTTTTTTTTTTCGGTTTTTATATTATGTTTTCAATTAGTAGATACTTTTTAGTTACTAATTATATTATTAAACATCTGAATCTATGTCTAAATTTTGACCACCAAAAATTTCTAAATTCTTATAGACATTTTTGTAAACCCCTCATCACTCTGACTTTGTCATCAAATAAAAATCTCAATATCTTAGTAGTTAGTACGGAAATGCATCGATCCTAAAATCTGCATTTTATTGGCCAAGGCAATAATATGCTTTTTTTTTTTAGTAGAATCATTTTCTTTTGTATCAAAAAATTGGATTCATTTTCTTTCACAATCCAGCAGACCAGCACCTTTAAAGATTTTACAGTTTTTAAAACAACAGTTATTTACGTTCACATCAACATTTAGTTGTCGACAATAGATTATATATAACCATATTATTATTAATTTTTTAATCTGACCAATGAATGATGCAAAAAAAAAAAAG